AGCGTTATTGCTGGGAGCGGCGCCAATTCAAAAGAGAGTTGGGCGCCAGTCCAGCGTTAAACGGAAGGAAGTCTCGGGCGGGAAGCCTGGTTTTGTCGGGGCGGCGGTTTTCGGCGGCGAGGAGGAACACCGCCTTGAGTAAGAAGGGAGGAAGCATCGAGCGGGAGCCGTGGTTTTGTCGGAACGGGGGCTGTCGGCGGCGAGGAACAGCACCATCTCCAGGAGATAGGGAGGAAGCCTCGAACGGAACGTTGTTCTTACTGGGAGCGGCGCCAATTCAAAAGAGAGTTGGGCGCCAGTCCAGCGTAAAACGGGAGGAAGTCTCGGGCGGGAGCGCTAGTTTTGTCGGGGCGGCGGTTCTCGGCGGCGAGGAGGAGCACCGCCTTGAGTAAAAAAGGGAAGCCTCGAGCGGGAGCGTTATTTTTGCTGGGGGCGGCGCCGATGAGAGAAAGACTAGCGCGCCAATCCAAGGTAAAACGTGACGAAGTCTCGAGCGGGAGCGCTGGTTGTGTTGGGACGGTGGCTTTCGGCGGCGAGCAAGAGCACCGGCCCTGAGTAAAAAAGGAGGAAATCTCAAGCGGGAGGGTTGTTGTTGGGGGGCCGGTTTTGGCGGTCCCCCAAACCGCTCGAGCGTGAGCCTCATTTTCAATGAAAATGTAGCCGGCGCCTTGGCGAGAGCGCCAGAGCGCCTTGAAGGTGTCCAATAATAACAATTGTTTCGTAGTTAACATTCCACAACAACCACAACAACCACTGGGCCCGCGCTCCCGGGGCCACGGCCACCTGGAAAAACAGACATCGACCCGCGCCCTCGAGGCCACTGCCCCCGCGAACAGTCCCCCAACGGCTGGCAGAGGGCGAGAGGCGGGACGGAAGAGCTCGACAGAGCGGAATGAAGGACGACGGAAAGCAGTCACACCAGAGACAGACCCCAATCAGTGGATGGTTTTCGCTGAGGAGATCGACCGGGAAGCCAGGAGCCCGGGAACCCAGAACCCACCGAAATAGGCCCGGAACCAATAGAACCCGGGAACCCGGAACCAAGAACTCGGGAACCCAGCCTGCTACCAAAATCGTCGGGAAACCTTCGCCAAATCTTTCAACTTCCGCTAGGACCCCTTCAGTGCAAGCACTGATTGGGGAAGGACAAGAGGGGCAGAAGCAGGGACCATGGGAGGGAGGAGGAGAAGGAGGAGGGGGCAAGGAGCGTTCGAGTTTTTTGCTTCATCATGGCCACGCGAACCCCCAATCAACAACGCGCAAGGAGCGTGCGAGTGAGTCGGAGTGGGAGTCCGTCTGATTTCAGGTGACTTCGAATGCACGTGGATCTGAGAAGCAGGGGGATCTAAGAAGCCCTGTGGGAGCCTCAAGAGAGCCCACGAGGCCCAAGGATACTCTGGAAAACTCAAGAGAAACCGCACGGCACACCATAAACGTCCAACCTACTTCTCCTCATGCTCTCGTCTCCTCCAGCCTGCTCATGTCTTCCCCTCATTCGAATGTTCCTTGCTTCAACCTGCCTTATCATCTTCCTTTCCGTCCTCCTTCCACCTCCTCCTCCTCCTCTTCCTCCTCCTCCTCCCCTCCTCTTCTCCCTGCTTCCGCCTCCGCCTCCGCCTCCGCCTCCACCTGATCGATCCTCCTTATTGCTTCTGCGTCGAGGTGAGCTCCATCGGGCCACTGCTTCAGCCCTGGGCGGGCAGCTCCGCCAGCTGAGCGATCGTGCACTCTCCACGCGACGAGCAGCAGCAGCAGCAGTAGCAGCAGCAGCAGCCCCTGATCCTTCCTGGAGCGCGTCTTGACGTGCGTGCCGCTGGCCGCTACGTTCGCCCCGCTCCAGCCGAGGAGCCGCGCAGCCTCTGGCCAGCTGGGCACCTCCCGGAACGGCACCTGGTCCTCAGCAGCCCAGTGAGGTGGCGATACACGAACTCTTGCGGCACCAGTTGGTCTCGGCACCCGCGAGCTCAGGCGGACCCGTGCGTCAGCCACCGGCAGCCAGCTCCGCCAACTGATACCCGACCACCGTCGCCACGAGATCCGCGTGCGTAGCGCTGCGCCGCGAGGGGGTGGCCAGCCGCTTCGCGGCGGTGCGCCAGTCCCTGGCGCTGAACGCTGCGCCCGCCTGCGCCACAAAGGTCTCGGCCCAGACTGCCACGTCAACCTCGCCCGCATCGGCGTCGCTAACTGCCCCACCGGGAAGCACCGACAGAGCCCGGCGCAGCTCGCTGGCCGGCGCAGTGGTGCGCGGGCCGATGGCCGCGGGTTCTGCCCACACCCACCGCGGCCCGCACGCCGCGCGCGCCGCGTCGGTGCAGGCGGTGGCCGGCGGCGGCTCGGGGCGCACCTGGAAGTCGAAGCGCGCGTCGATAGCCGCGGTGAGCGCCGCGAGGTCGGCTCGCTCGTTCGCCTGCTCCTCGGGCGCTGCCTGCGCCGCTGCGGGCGTGCGCCCAAAGGGCGCAAAGGGCACCACCGTCCTGGTCAGGCTGCGCAGCTCCAGCACCAGCAGCCCGGCGGCCTCCTCTGCGCACTCGCCGAGGAGCAGCTCCTGCGCGCCATGCTCGCCACCCTCAGCCGCGCCGCGCGGCACGACGCGCACCGCGGCGAGGACAAAGTTCGACGTGCGCTGGCGCAGGGAGGCGTAGATGGCGCGAGCGCCGGCGACGAAGGCATCGCGAGCTGGCTCGCCCGCGGCGGCGTTCACCTCCAGGTGCAGCATCAGCGCCCGGCTGCTCTCCTCACCGAGTACGCGCCGAAGACGGTCGGCGGCGCGATGGAATCAGCCACACCAAGGAATGACCCTGGGCAAGATTGACCTTGAGTGTGCGGATTTAATGACCGCGGGGGTGGGGGCAACTCTAAGCGCGCAGGCCAATCCTGGGGGAACCCCATGGGACCCCTGTGGGCCCGTACTGAAAGTCACTCTGGCGAGAGGTCACCCCTACGCGTAGCCGATGGAAGTGTGCAAAGTCGGCGTCGCAGCCAGCTGGGTTGTGGTGATTGAAAATGTAGGCGTGCTCCGCCGTGCGAAGCTGCCGATGCAGGCTCCCGCTGCCCACGCCCGGCCAGGGCGCCAACTCTCGACGATCGAGGAAGGCCTTGCGCCCGACGACGACGACGACGACGACGACGACGACGACGACGGCGGCGGCGACAACGACGGAGACGGCGGCGGCGGAGGAAGGCCTTGCACCCGTCGCCCAAGCAGCGGCAGATGACCGCCGGGTCCGAGTGTATGTAGTCGAACGGCAGCGCGAAGCGGCGCAGCGCCAAGGCGTGGCCTCGCAAGAACTCGGCGGCGTGGCACGAGGGGCCAAGGCTGAGGCAGTAGTGGATAGGGGTCTTCATGCTCGGGGACCCCCTCTGCTCTGGCGACCTCGAGCAATTACTTGAGCCGAAACGGCTACGACCCCGGTGGCACGAGGGGTGGCAGAAGCATGAGGATGAAGGGGCCTTGGGACACACAAATAAATACACACAAATAAACGGATTCCCCATATTTCCCGACCTAGGCTCTGCCTAGAAGGGTTCTTACTCTCTGTGCTTAAAGGGGCCGGGCAGTGGGCTCCGCCCCGGGCGGTTCCCCCAAGATCCGCCCCGCGGTTCCCCCAGTTACGTCCCCTTAGCTTAGCGTTGCTTATATCATCTTAGCTTAGCTTATTTCATCTTAGCTTAGCTTAGCTTCATCTTAGCTCAGGATTATGTTAGCTTAGCTTACCTTCATCGTAGCTTCGCTGAGCTTTAGCATAGCAGAGCACAGCAGAGCACAGCAGAGCACAGCAGAGCACAGCATAGCGTAGCATAGCGTAGCATAGCATAGCGCAGCACAGCCTATCATAGCATAGCCCAGCATAACATAGCATAGCGCAGCATAGCATAGCATAGCATAGCATAGCATAGCGTAGCACAGCACAGCACAGCACAGCATAGCATAGCATTGCATAGCACAGCGCAGCATGGCATAGCATAGCTTATAATAGCATAGCATAGCATGGCATATCATAGCATAGCATAGCGCAGCATAGCATGGCATGGCATAGCATAGCATAGCATAGCATAGCAACTAATGTTGCTTTCCTAGGGGCTCCAACTTCTAGGTAGGGCCGCACTGGGGTAATGTCTTATATTTTCTGGGTTTTCGTTTTCCCCCCACTTCCCATATTTTCCCATATTTTCTGGGGAATCGACGATTCATCGTGTCTGTGTGTCTTCCCTCCTGAGAGGAGGAGGAGCAACGGCTTCCGGCCTCTCCTCGGGCCCTCGCGTCCGATAACAGCAGCGAAGCCACAGGAACGAGGTCGAGCGCCGTGCCATGATTCGGACAAGCCTCGTGACATGCAGTCCTGGAGGCGCAGCAGTATGTAGGGGTCGGCGGATGTGGCGTAAGCCTGTAGAATCACGACTGGAGCCCCAGGACTCCATCTCTCTGCGTCGTTCCTCGGGCCGGAGCGATCTGCGAGGGCCCCCCCGGGGGCCCGAGGCGGGGCGAAAAAGCGCCCGTGGCGAAGAGCTGCCGCGCCAGGAGCTCGGGGGGGGGGGGGGGGCACACACGCACTGCCTGCTCCGAGCCCGAGCCCCCGCTGGGGAAGGACCACGCTGCACCGGCGGCTGCGCCTGCCCCCCGGAGCGCGAGGGGCAGAGAGAGAGAGAGAGAGCTGCGCGCCTCGCCGCGGGGAGGGAGCCTCGGCCCGGGCGGGCGCCCGAGGAGCGGAGTCCCCCGAGAGAGGCGCGAGGCGGGGAGCCCTCTGGAGAGGCCCCGACGCTCGATGCCTCGAGCTGCGGTGCTCCCCGACGGCCACGGCGAAGAGGAGGAGGAGGAGGAGGAGGAGGAGGACGACGACGACGACGACGGCGGCGAACGACGACGACGACGACGACGACGACGACGACGACGACGACGACGACGACGACGGCGGCGGCGGCGGCGGCGGCGGCGGCGGTGACGACGGCGGCGGCGACGGCGGCGGTGACGGCGGCGGCGACGCCGAAGGCGGCGGCGGCTCCTCCGCGCCCCCTGAGTCCAGGCCGCTCATATTGACGGCGCGCAGGTCGTACCCGAGCACGTGGTTGCCTGGCCGCAGCGTGGCGCCTGGACGCCCCCCTCCGCGCGGCGCCGTCGGGGGCCACCCTGGGCGCGCCGAGGACCGCGCTCGCCGCGGCGCTCGCCGTGGCGCTCGCGGTGGCGCCGGGTGCGGCAGCACTGCGCCGGTGCTCGCCGCGGCTCGCCGTGGCGCCGGGCACGGCCCTCGCAGCTGCGCGCCCAACGCTGGGAGGACGATCCTAGATGTCGGTGCCGGTGGCAATCTTTCGGCCACCCAGACAGCCCGAATATTCACCAGCATCATCACCGAGATCGGGACGATCTTCCCCTCGGTGGAGGTACTCCGCCGATGCTGGTGTTGGTGCCAACCTCTAGGCCTCCGACACACATCCGCCCCTCCCACGGTGTGACTGAGGGCCCCACATGCTGCTCTGCACCTCGAGATCAGGCCGGAGAAGCTACCGACGCACACCACGGCGGCGTGCACTTCGAGAGCAAGGCGCACGACCGACGCCGGGGGCCCCGAGGGCCCCCTCTGCGCGTGGCGAAACCTCAGCGGACCCCCCCATGGCGCGGTGGGCGGCAGCGTGGCGTCCACGGGCGGGCAGCGTGGCGAAGCCTCGGCGGACCCCCCAGCGCGGTGGACAGCAAGCCAGGCCCCCGACGTCGAGGTTTTGTTCACAACGTCGACCTCCAGAGGTCTCGACCCCTTCCCTGGGAGCCGCATTCCATCCTGAGCGGTCTTCGACGGACCCGAGGCACAGTAAGAGCCCGAGGCAGGAAGCAGCGAAACAGAGCCCGTCGTGACTTTTGTTCCCAACGCGGGGGGGTCTGGGGCCGAAGTCCTGCGCCGAGCTCGTTTGCTCTGGAGGCCAGTTTGTGGCAGTTTGGGATCCTCTTGGGAGTGTGGGGGGGCCTCTCTGGGCTTCCTGAGGGCCTCTTGGGGCATTCTGGGCCCTGGGTGCCTCTTGGGTGCCTCCTCGATGTCTCTTGGCGGACGCCCTTGTCGGGCGTTTTCGGGGGCTCTTCTGGGCTGTCTTGGAGGCCTCTCGGGCCCTGCCTGGCCGGCCTAGCGACGCGGCGTGCACACCGAGTCCCTCAGAGGCACAGCGCTCGGCGGCCTGCCCCACCCTCGCGGGGGCCCCTGGCCCAGGGGGGAGTGGCCAGCGTGTCGCGCCGAGGCGCAGTGGGCCAGAACTGGCGACGCGGCGCGCTGCAGCGGAGGCCAATCCACAAGAAACCTTCCACAAGAAGCCCCAACCCTGAGACCACAGGACGTCCATGGTTCTTTGGTGTGGGAACGTCTCGCCTTCCGTAGCAAAACCGTCGAAACCCAAGAAACCGAGGGGGGGGGCCCTTGAGGCCAGCAGGGTGGTGTTTCTTGGCATGGGTCTCCACTGTAAGCCAAAGCTCCTGACCGTACCCTGCCGCCCCAGAAGACCCCCGACGTTGGAATGGCTCCACACCGTAGACCCCCCAGAGGTCTGGACCCCTTCTCCGGGACCTGTTTTTCGTCCTGAGCGCTTTTTTACACGGTCCCGCGGGAAGGGCCTCCCAATGCAAACAAACAAACAAATCAAACACGAAATATTATCCTTCGCCGAAATCATTGTCACGACGCGAGGGGGTCTGGGCACCCTGCCGCCCCTGGCATCGGCTGCACGCAGCAGTGACCCCAGGCAGGAGTGACCTCTGGTGCGCGGCTTCAGCGGGGGGGGGGGGGCGCGCGAGGGGGCCGAGCCCGAGCGCGCGGTCCGCTGCTGTCGCATCGCACTCGCCGATCGGCGGGCCACCACGGGCCCGCACCGAAGGCCACGCCGGCGAAGGGCCACTCTCACGTGTGGCCGATGGCATCCCGGCCCTCCCGCCCGCCGAGGTGGCTGCGGACGATGTGCCGCTCGTCGTTGACGCCGAGGTCCTGCAGCCGCGCCACCTCGGGCGGCGGCGCGCCGCCCGGTGCCTCCGCCCAGAAGCCCGGCGACCCCCAGGACCGAGGAGGAGGAGGAGGAGGAGGAGGAGGAGGAGGAGGAGGAGGAGGAGGAGGAGGAGGGGTGCAGGAGGAGGAGGAGGAGGAGGAGGAGGAGGAGGAGGAGGAGTAGGAGGAGGAGGAGGAGCCTGAGCTGAGGAGCCAGTCGTGTGACGGCCCCGGCCCCGACGCCTTCGCACGGGGGGGGGGGAGGGGCACACCTCCTGGGCACGCGCCCGAACAGCGGGAACTCACGGGCCGCGAACATGCGGCCGGACCTGGGACAGAAAGAGCATCCCCTGAGATCCTGGCGTTGCAACTCTTGCACAACGGGGTTTTCGCCCCGTGTCGGGCCCACGGGGCCCTCACAGATCGACCCGGCCCGAAGAACGACACAGAAAGATGGGGTCCGGGGCTCTGGGCGTGACTCTGTCGATGTTGCATGTGTTTCGCGACGTCGGATCTCAGGGACGGGCGGCGAACATACGGCCGGACCTGGCACAGAAGAACATACCTCAAGAATATGAGACCTTCCGCAGGCCAAACTGAAGAACCTTCGAGAGCACCCTCCCCAGGATATACACAAGGAGATGCAATGAACACGAAGAACATGAGGGTGCCCTCCCCGAACTCGCCTCGATCTTATACCTCGGTCTGGCCGTATCCGTATCCGCGTCCTCGGGGTCTGGATTCCGAGGCGCGATCCTGGGGTCGCACGGCTACGTTCCCCGCGGGACCGCGAAAAAGACGCCACGTGTCCGCCGGATCCGCGGGGTCGCGGCCCACGGGCCCAGCGCAAGGGCGGGCGCACCTCCGGGGGGCACGCGCCCGAACAGCCAGAGCTCCTCCCACCTCCAATCGCCGAGATCCCAAACCCCCTCGCGTCGGAGAAAAAAAGGACGGAAGATGCTGTTCGCAACCATCCTGCGGTGCTGGGTCCTCGTGTTGACGAGACAGCGCCCCGCGTCCACTCACTCCTCACTCACTCCTCCTCCCCCCCCTCCCTCCTTCCATTCCTGCCTCTGCTCTCACGCGTGCCGTCGTAACCATTAGCATCGTCATCATCATCATCGCTATCGCCATCACCCACGTCGTCATGTGGCCCCACAGGGATCTCCACCTTAGACCCCAATGGGTGTGGCCACATGCGTCCGCCACAGCCATGTCGGCACATCCCTCACACGGTTCGTGGCCCCAAAGGGAGCTCCACCGAAGGCCCCAGCGACAGGGGGTCCGCCTGCATCCCCCCGCCCATTTTGGCACACACTCTTCACACGGTTCCGTGGCCCCATAGAGCTTCACCGAAGGCCCCAGTTACAGGGTCCTCATGCGTCCCACCCCAGTTCGGCACTCCCTTGTGGCAGGGTCCGCATGCGTGCGTTCCCACGTACATGTCGGCACACCCCTCACACGCTTCGTGGCCCCGTAGGGGGCCTCACCGACAGCCCGGGGCCACGAAACGTGTGAGGGGTCTGCCGAAATAGAGCGGGGCCGCATGCGAACGCAGCCACTGGGGCATTCGGTTGAGCTCCCTATGGGGCCACGAAACATGTGAGGGAGTGCCGAAATGCGAAGAGGGAATCGGATGATGGTGAGGATGATTAAGGAGGGGGGGGAGAAAAAGAGGTTGGGGAGGAGAGGAGAGGAGAGGAGATGAGATGCGAGGAGATGAGAGGAGAGGCGAGGAAAGGAGAGGAGAGGAAAGGACAGGAAAGGAGAGGGGAGGAGGAGGAGACGCGCGGTGCTGCGTATTCAAATCGAGGACCCAACACACAGGCGGTTGAGGAAAAAGCTGAGGAGGACGAGGAGGAGGAGGAGGAGGAGGAGCGGGAGTCAAGAGGTGAGGTGTGGACGCGCGGCGCTGCGTATTCAAAACGAGGGCCCAACACACAGGAGGGAGGGCTGGGAAAAACTTCTACCCCGACCTCCGACGTCGTCATCTCTCCAGAAGCCCCCCAAGATCTGCTGGAAAGGGCGCTGGGCCTGGGCACTCCGCACCCACGGGCCGGGCGGTGCGACACCGAGGGACGTCCTGGATGGATCTTGGGCCCGCCTCGCACCAGGGGGCCGTCTGGTGGCTGCGGGTTGCGCAGACGCAGAGGGTGCTGGCTCAGCGAAGACGAACCTTTCCAGATGTGGGTGGGGGGTGGGGCCAGATGCCAACCTTTCCAGGGGGCGCTGGCATACCGAAGGGCGAAGAAGCCAAGTGCCCTGTGACGCCTGAGCGCCATTCAGCAGCTTTGCGAATGCTCTGGCGGGTGCTTTGAAGTGGTGCCCGAGATTCATTCCTCGGCTTCCAAAGCTGCATCTGCCGCTGCCTTCTCCTTATCGAGCCATCACACCTTGTATCATGCTAACTCTATACCCGCTGCACCTATACAAGAGACCTCTCCATGAAAACTCACGTACGCTTGCAGTGCACACTGCGCAGTGCACACACCAAACTGCTCGCCGGCAGAGACACAAGGCATGAGCAAAGAATGGGCGCATGCGAGAAAAGCATAACTGCCGCCTCGATGTCCGCGAGTGCCATGCGGGATCGGCCCGACAATCGGTGCCTCACTGCCCGATGTCTCCCCCTATCCCGAGAAGCAGGCCATGGGCTGAAAAAGAAGACGCACGGCATTGAGACGCATCAAGTCGAAGATAGAGATTACGAATCTCCTTGGGAGGCTGAGAACCACATCAACTCGATTGCGCCAAAGTCAGACACTCCGTGCTTCAAAAGTATCCGTCACGAGCTGGGGTCATATGCGTTTTGATCACCAGTCCATGCCATCATTTAAAGACATGCCTACGGATTGAGGACACAGCTTGGTTCTACCCCCGCCATCATTTAAAGAAGAAGCTCCCCAGTCCACATGTCACCCCCGTGGTGGAAGCTCGTGGGCGCCCTCCTCCTCCTCCTCCTCCTCCTCTTCCTCCTCGTCCTCCCTCCTACTCCCCCGCCTCCTCATCCTCGTCCTCCACCGCCTCCTCGTCGTCCCCCTTCACCTCCCCATCCTCGTACTCCTCTTCATCTTCTCCGTCCTTCACCTCCCCCTGCCCCTCGCCTTCACCCTCCTCCCCCATCAACCTCCTCCCCCAGGCTCCGTCCCTCCCCGCCGCCTCCCGCGCCCCCCTCGCTCCCTCGTCCCCCGCCTGCTCCTGGCAAGGCCGGCCGCCGCGCTCCTCTGCCCCCCCCCCATGCGTGAGCACCCGAATGCTTTCGCGCGTCGCCCTGGGGTTGCTGGCACCTCCACCTCCCGCGCGTCCCCTCGCGCTCCCTTAAACTCACAGTCCCCGAAACACTCCAACGAGCCCTCTCTCCAGTGGCGCGCCCTTCCACGTCGTTCGTTTCCCGCAGACTCCCCCACATGGCGCCCCACCCCCGGCCCGTGCCCCCAATTCTTCCACGCACGCGCACTCCTCGCATTCCTCTCACGCCGTCAGCCTGCATCTCTGCCGCATCGTTGTCCCCCGAGGCGTGCTGGCGTGGCTGCGGCTGCCTCCGCGCGCTGCCTGATGCGAGCAGCCTGCGCCTCCATCCCGGGTGTCGGGATCAGGCGCACGCTCGCACGCGAGGAGGCGAGACCACGGGGCGCTACTGGTAGCAGCACACACTGGGTCGAGGCACGACGTGTGGTGCCAGAGCTTGTAGCAACCGTCTCCTCAGACCTGCAATCAGGGTGGAGACCTTGGCGAATTCGCCTGAGAACGCCTCCGCCACACGGTCTCCAAGCTTTCCGCCGCACCGACCAGCCCACTGAAAGCACCGCTCGTTCGTGCAGAACTGGACCACTGCGTTCGACGCTAGAGATGGGCACGCAGCTCGCAGCCAAAGCGGGCCACCCCCGGGGGACCGCTCCACGTAAGGGGCGATGGATGTGTCTGCCGGCTCCCGATCATGGTGCTCGGGCGGCGAGAGGGACGCGGGCACACCAGCTGGGAGAGGAGAATGAGGGGGAGGATGAGGAAAGAGAGGAAGAGGAGGAGGAGCAGGTGGAGGAGCAGGAGGAGGAGCAGAAGGGGGAGGAGGGAGGAGGAGGGAGGAGGAGGAGGAGGAAGAAGAGGAGGAGGGGGAGGAGGCGGAGGGGGAGGAGGAGGAGGAGGAGGAGGAGGAGGTGGAGGAGGGAAAGGAGAGGGAGGAGAGGGAGGCGAGGGGGAGGCAAAGAGTGGGGAGGAGGGGGCAGAGGAGGAAGGCGGCGGAGCAGAGGGACCCCCTCGCACGGGCGCCGCTGGCGGGGCCTCGCGGGCGTGCCCGCGTGGGTCTCCTCGACGAGCTCCACGTTCAGCACCTCACTCCAGAGAAACCAAAAAAAACGCCCTCCCTTCCCCCCCTCCCACCCTCCCCCCCACCCGCCCCACGCGTGGGCACTGGGTGGGCACCGTGTCCTGGTAAGCAGTCCTCACGTGGACGGCAGACTGCCAGGGCTGCCCGCTGCAGCGGGCAAGGAGGGAGAAGCAACCGGGCCCCAGGTCCGGAGCCAGCAGAAGGCGGCTTTCTTGTTCGCATGTGGCGCCTCGGCTGCGCTAGTGTCCTGGAGATGTGTACAGGGCACAGGGGATTGCGCCTTTGGTCAGGAGGATGGGTCGTGTGGCCCGCAACCCCCCTTGGGACCCTGCGTCCATCCGCCCTGGGCTGGTCGTTTTCGTACAGCCAGGTTGCGCATTACACTCGATTCGGCAGGGTCGATTGTGGTCTTCCTGATCGAGGAACCTGAAATCACGGTGAAGGATTCGGGGGGGCCTGTCACCCTACGCACCAAGCATTCTCGGGTGGAATGCAAGTCACGGCCGACGTGGTCTTCTCACCGTTCCTGAATCTGTTCGTTGGGAAGACATCGGCTAATACAGTCTTCAATATCCCTCCCTTCCCCCCCCCTTCCCCCTCACCTCTCTCCCTCCCTCCATCGCTCCCTCCGTTCCCTCCGCCCGCCCTCCTCTGATTCCGGGAGCACGACTGCTTCGAGGTTGGTCACTTCCTGGCTCGTGTGCCAGCCACTAAGAGACTGCTGATGCAGGGCAGTGGCAGGCAGTGTGACCCCTCGCATTTGCAGCGAGAACATGCCCATCTGGCGTTCGCCCCGGGAGGCTCGCACGCGCCTGCTATCCTTCTGACCAGGCCCGCGGCGATCCAGGTGACGTTGTGTCCGGGGCCGAGGCCTTACCCTGTGGTCCGTTAACCGGGGCTCTGGGAAGGCCCCAGGAGGCCCTGGAGGCTCCCTGGGAGGCTCCACGGGGTCCTGGGATTCCCAGGAGTCCTCCCAGCGATGCCTTGGAGGCGGCTTCCCCAGGGCCCCAAGACCCAGCTTCCCTGGGTCCTGGGGTTCCCGGGGCTGGAGGTGGGCACGGAGCTTGGGCCTGGGGAGATGGAGAATGTGTTTGTCTCACTTGATTGGGGGTCTGCTATGGAACGGATCAATCCATACATACTTTGCACAGCGTGCGTGTCACATTGTGCCCAGTGTCTTGGCCCCAGCTCAGGGGTATGTGTAGACCCCCCCCTCGAGGAAGCTTCCCGCCAGCGGCAGGAATGCTCTAGCGAACGCTCATGAGTGCAAGCACGCCAAGACGGGGGCCAAGCTGCAAGGTTGATGCTGACGTGGGGAGTCTGTTGAAACATCCTTCCTACGAGAGGGCTCGTGGGTAACTTGCTTGTGCTCTCGTGGCTGGAGGACTGCCCTACATCATCACGCAACCGGGAAACATGCAGGATGCATGAGCGAGGAGACGCGACGGAGTGCAGAGAATGGGGGGAACGGTCATCCAAGGGCGCTCCTCGATGCTTCCTCTTGTTAATTCTGCTGCTACTGATTGTCGCCGTCGTCGTCCAACTCGTTCACCTGACCACAACCACCCCTGCATCGATATTTCATCATCATCATCATCATCATCATCATCATCAGCATCATCATCATCATCATCATCATCATCATCATCATCATCATCATCATCATCATCATCATCATCCTCATCAACATCATCATCATCATCTTCTTCTTCATCATCATCATCATCATCATCATCGTCATCATCATCACCAGAATCGTCGTCGTCATCATCGTCATCACCATCATCATCATCATCGTCGTCGTCGTCATCATCATCAGCATTATCATCAGCATCAGCATCATCATCATCTTGAGCATCAACAGCAGCAGCATCGTCATCATCAAAAACATCAACATCAACATCATCATCATCATCATCATCATCATAATCAGCATCATCACCATCATCATCATCATCATCATCAGCATCAGCATCATCAGCAGCATCATCAGCGGCAGCATCAGCATCAGCATGATCATCATCATCATCAGCAGCACCATCGTCATCATCAGGCACCTCAGTAACGACAAGAGCATCAGCATCGTCATCATCACCAGCATGGGAAGGACATAACCATCACCACCACCATCAGCATCGTCATCATCATCAGCAGAAGCATGTGCATCTTCATTTCCAGTTTCATCTTCATCTTCATCATCAGCAGCATCACCGTCGTCAGCCTCATCGTCAGCAGCAGCATGACCAGTACCATCGTTATCATCAGCATCATCGTCATCACCAACATCATCATCCTCATCATCATCATCATCAGCATCATCATCATCATCATCATCATTATCACCGCCATCACCATCATACTCCGCATCATCATCGTCGTCGGCGGCGGCATCGTCATCGACATCGTCATCGACATCGTCATCATCATCATCATCATCAGCAGCAGCATCGTCACCAGCAGCAGCAACGTCATAATTATCATCATCATCATCACCATCATCAGCATCATCATCATCACAAGACATCAGCATGAGCATCAGCATCAGCATCATCAGTATCATCATCATCATCATCAGCATCATCATCATCATCATCATCAGCATCATGAGCGTCAGCAATATCGTCATCGTCATCGTCGTCGCCATATTCACGATCATCGGCATCATCAGAAGCATCCTCATCATCAGCAAGACCATCACAATCGTCATCATCATGATGGACATGAACATCACCAGCGGCATTAACATCATGGTCGTCAGCAGCATCACCATCGTCGTCGTCGCCAGTATCGGCTTCATCGTCAGCATTAGCAGCATCATCATCAGCATCAGAACGTTCAGGCTCATCATCATTGGCGTCATCGGGCTCATCATCACGTTCACCATCTTTGGCGTCAACATCATCATCGGCATCGTTGTTACCATCAACGGCATCATCACTCTGATCAATGACAACCGCAACCTCCTCAAAAATGGCTAATAAACTGATGAATGCCCCAAACCCGCAGGTCCACTGCCTGAAATCGGCAAGCATACTTGACCACCATTGCGAACGCCCTCTCTGGCTACTTCACGACAAATCCTCGCCCATTGCCCCTGGGACACAACGAACCGCCCGCCCTTGCTGACTCCGCCAAAGGCACCACGTACTCTCGTAAATGAGTTCGCGTGCACACAGGCAAACCGAGTGGCCTCGCGCGCAGATCGCGGAACGGGCACATGAATGACATGCTGCCGAGGCAATGAGAGCTCCTCTGCCGCTGAAAACAGGGTTAGCTTGTCAGCACTGGAGGGACAAGAAGATCGCCAAGAAATAGCCGCAGACGGATAACCATCACAGCACGTCGAGAGAACATTGTGGTTAGAGAGAAATTCGAGGGTCGTAGACAGACGTAAGGCAAAGGTGCTGACCTGTCTACGCTTGAGGAACATCGAGCAACGAGTACTACACGCTAGCGCCTACTTTCACAATCCCACGAGAGAAACAACAATAGCCACACATACAGGCAGCAGCAAGTACACAAATCACATCGACCAACAGAGTGAGCATTTCCACGCTCCTGGACTGTGAACAGGCTCCCGGGCGAGCAGTCATCCTCACCTGAACGTTGCCAGCACTGCTCTTCCTGGGAGAGGCCTGCGTGGAGCGCACTCACACAGACCTGCGCGCGGTGCAAAAAACACTAACACAGACCTGGGTTTTTTTTGGGTTTTTTTGGGTTTTTTTTGTTTTTTGGGGTTTTTGGGTTTTTTTTGTTTTTTATTGTTTTTTTGGGGGTTTTTTCGGGTTTTTTTGCAATCCCTCGTCGGCGTGGAGGAAAAAGGGCGTCCCAGATCTGCCCGCTCCTGCCGACGCCTCGTGCCTGCACTCTGCTCCGGCGCGGTCCACCGGCCCACGCCCGCTGCGAGCCTCAGAGCCCCCCCCCCGCGCTGCGCGCCGGCACGCGCACGCCTCGAAGGCACCGACCCGCCGACCAGCTCGGCCCCGCGAGAGCCCCGCCGCCCCCGGGGCGCTGAGAGCGAGCCCGCCGCCGCCACGGGGAGGCCTTCCCCCTCGCCCCGCGCCGAGAGGCCCCAGGGTCGGCGCGCCGACGTGGGGGGGGGGGGAGGAGCGCGAGGGGGCAGGCCGGCTCAAAAGGCGGCGCGGCTTCGGAGGAAGCCCAGGAGGAGGAGGAGGAGGGGGGAGGAGGAGGAGGAGGAGGAAGAGAAGGAGGAGGAGGAGGAGGAGGAGGAGGAGGAGGCCTCCTGCCCTCCTTGGAGGCCCCAGCAAAAGCTGCTCAGAAGGCCGGAGAGGCCCTCCGAGCGCGCTCCGAGAGAGGGCCCAAAACCCGCTCTGGCTTCCCTCCCGAGGCGCGCGCACGCCGAGCTCTCCTCTGGAGCACTGCGACCCCCTCCCCCCCCCCTCCATTCCCAGGAGCTCCTCCTCCTCCCCCTCCTCCTCCTCCTCCTCTTCCTCCTCCTCCTCCTCCTCGGGGGGAGGCCCGCAGGACACCCCGCTCCCAGCACACCGCGCTGGGCAAGCTGACAGGGCCGAGGCCGCGGCAGCGGGGCAGCCAGCGCCACCCCCTGGCAGCCACGACGGACAGAGATCCCCCCGCCCTGCGTGCGGGGAAGCGCGTCGCCCCAGCTCGGCCGCGTAACGGGTATCTCTTTACCAAGGCCTGCCGATCCAGCATGGCTGTTCTGCGACGACGTCGCGCTGCTACTTATCCGGATTCAGATAAGCATCGGCCTGGCCAATGTGCTATCAGCTGGCCCATTTCAACGACATGTGCCAACTCATGCCTTCGAGATCATCCACGTGAGGGGCTGCTCACAAGCTATATTCCAACGTTTATCCCCGTGCAAGAACCCACCCGTGTCCTTCAAGATCATCCCCACATGCGTAGGCATTACAATACATGCTGGCTGGTTGGGACTGCTCACAATTGCTCATCGTCAAGTGCTCCCTGCGTTCCTTCGAACTCTGTCCAACCTACTGCCCTCCATTGACACGCATCTGCGATGGCCTTTTCCAATACTCTGAAGATGGGATGTCGCGGGAGTTGCACGTGACCGGGTCTACCAATCGGACACCGTTGGAAACCTCAGCGGATGCAGATATCAATACAGCAACCACTCGATAGACTAGGAGAGAGTGGTTCCAAGAAAAGCGATAGCGCAAAGCCCGAGCAATGAAGCACAACAGCACCAAGGCGTTGTAACACATGACGCGCATGAAATTACCCTGTGACGTACCCAATCCATTTGTATCAATGGAAACGAGGAGTTGGCCGAAACTTGTATGGACAATCAACTTGATGTGTAAGCTACTTGGGAGGCGTCACTGTGCTGGGCCCCGCAAGCAGGCCTCGAAAGTGGCGACAGTTTCACAGATCGCAGCCCCCCAGGGATGGCGAGGTCCCACTGTGCTTGGCAACAGTTTCACAGATCGCAGTCCCCCAGGGATGGCGAGGGCCCATTTGAATCCGCCGTGTGTATCCACTGTGCTGGGCCCCCCAGCAGGCCTCGAAAGTGGCGACAGTTTCACAGATCGCAGCCCCCCAGGGATGGCGAGGTCAATTTGAATCCCCGTGGGCCACTGTGCTGGGCCCCCCAGCAGGCCTCGAAAGTGGCGACAGTTTCACAGATCGCAGCCCCCCAGGGATGGGAGGAGTTCCCAGGTGGGTACCCCTGGGTGTGCCCCCAGCAGGCCTCGAAAGTGGCGACAGTTTCACAGATCGCAGCCCCCCAGGGATGGCGAGGTCCCCGCCGTGGGTACCCACTGTGCTGGGCCCCCCAGCAGGCCTCGAAAGTGGCGACAGTTTCACAGATCGCAGCCCCCCAGGGATGGCGAGGTCCCATTTGAGTCCGCCGTGGGTACCCACTGTGCTGGGCCCCCCAGCAGGCCTCGAAAGTGGCGACAGTTTCACAGATCGCAGCCCCCCAGGGATGGCGAGGTCCCATTTGAATCCGCCGTGGGTCACTGTGCTGGGCCCCCCAGCAGGCCTCGAAAGTGGCGACAGTTTCACAGATCGCAGCCCCCCAGGGATGGCGAGGTCCCATTTGAATCCGCCGTGGGTACCCACTGTGCTGGGCCCCCCAGCAGGCCTCGAAAGTGGCGACAGTTTCACAGATCGCAGCCCCCCAGGGATGGCGAGGTCCAATTTGAGTCCGCCGTGGGTACCCACTGTGCTGGGCCCCCCAGCAGGCCTCGAAAGTGGCGACAGTTTCACAGATCGCAGCCCCCCAGGGATGGCGAGGTCCAATTTGAGTCCGCCGTGGGTACCCACTGTGCTGGGCCCCCCAGCAGGCCTCGAAAGTGGCGACAGTTTCACAGATCGCAGCCCCCCAGGGATGGCGAGGTTCAATTTGAGTCCGCCGTGTGTACCCACTGTGCTGGGCCCCCCAGCAGGCCTCGAAAGTGGCGACAGTTTCACAGATCGCAGCCCCCCAGGGATGGCGAGGTCCAATTTGAATCCGCCGTGTGTACCCACTGTGCTGGGCCCCCCAGCAGGCCTCGAAAGTGGCGACAGTTTCACAGATCGCAGCCCCCCAGGGATGGCGAGGTCCCATTTGAATCCGCCGTGTGTACCCACTGTGCTGGGCCCCCCAGCAGGCCTCGAAAGTGGCGACAGTTTCACAGATCGCAGCCCCCCAGGGATGGCGAGGTCCAATTTGAACCGCCGTGGGTACCCACTGTGCTGGGCCCCCCAGCAGCCCTCGAAAGTGGCGACAGTTTCACAGATCGCAGCCCCCCAGGGATCGCGAGGTTCCATTTGAATCCGCCGTGTGTGCCCACTGTGCTGGGCCCCCCAGCAGCCCTCGAAAGTGGCGACAGTTTCAAAGATCGCAGCCCCCCAGGGATGGCGAGGTCCCATTTGAGTCCGCCGTGGGTACCCACTGTGCTGGGCCCCCCGGCAGGCCTCGAAAGTGGCGACAGTTTCACAGATCGCAGCCCCCCAGGGATGGCGAAGTCCAGTTTGAGTCCGCCGTGTGTACCCTCTGTGCTGGCCCCCCCAGCAGCCCTTGAAAGTGGCGACAGTTTCGCAGATCGCAGCCCCCCCGGGATGGCGAGGTCCCATGTGAGTCCGCCGTGGGTACCCACTGTGCTGGGCCCCCCAGCAGGCCTCGAAACTGGCGACAATTTCACAGATCGCAGACCCCCAGGGATGGCGAGGTCCAATTTGAATCCGCCGTGTGTACCCTCTATGCTGGGCCCCCCAGCAGCCCTCGAAAGTGGCGACAGTGTCGCAGATCGCAGCCCCCCAGCTGGCACGCAGCGACGAGCGAGGCAAAAGGCAAGGGGGAAGAGAGGGGCGGGAAGGAAGGAAGGAAGTAAGGAAGGAGACGCGCGAGCAGTGCTCTAGTCAAAACGAGAACCCAACGCAGGAGGGTTGGGAAAAATGTTACAAACGCGAGTAGACTTGACATCCGTATGAGGCAGCCATCCCACCAGATGTCTCCCCGACCCACACCCCACACACACACACACACACACACACACACACACACACACACACACATACCAACACACACACACACACGCACACACACACACACACAAACACCAACACACCACCACCACCACCACCACCACCACCACCGTTCTTGAGTTCGGAGGCCTCTCTGGCTAGGGTGTCTCGGGGTAAATTGTGAGGAGATGTCGAGCGCGGCCGTTGTCGTCGTAGCCAGGCCTCCAAGGGCACACATTTTGACTCAAGCCAACGCTCACGCGGGAGCCTCGTTTGCAGAGAACATGTAGCCGGCGTCGAAGCGAGAGCGCGCGGAACCATCTCCGGAGATCAACCATAGTCGTTCTCTAGACATGAATATCCAACAACAACCACAACAACCACAACCACAACAACAACAATAACAACAACAATAACGGCAACAACAACAATAACAATCAGACTAAGACTGTTCGCTCGTATCTGCGCGCCTGCCATTCAAGACATCCCAAAACCTCGATACCCGCCCTCTTCGTCTTTGATCGTACCCCCCGGGGAGTATATCTCTCTTGCCTGCAGAATGTATTTCGTGCAGCCCCTACGGCAGGGGAAAAGAGGACGGATGGAAGGAAGGACAAGGGGGAGGGAGGATAATGGAGAACGACAGAGAGAGTAGCAGTAGGGGGGCTAAGAGTAGAAAACACGTGGCAGAACCAGACGGGCAGATCGGGCGGGTCGACCCTAACAAACGAATCGGGAAGGCGGGCCCAGGCGGCCAGGTCGAGCAGGCGGGTTGCTGAAGCGTGCGTCCCGCATGCATCGTGAGCATCGTTCCCAAGTCAATCGTGAAATTGACCGAAGCGAGAGGGTGATTCCAGAGCGCCGAGGGCGCGGCGTCTAAATAAATTGCGAGGAATTCCCACGCGAGAGCGCGATTTGGTGAGGCTGGGGACCAGGGGCGCAGTTTCGTGACACCTCGCTGCACTTTGCAAAACCAAAAAAAAACAGGGTGCGAGCTCCAGGAGAAGCACTTAATTGAACAACTGCAATGGTTACCAGGAAGGGGGGAACAACAGCAATTATTATTCAGAAATGAGAAGTCCACAACAACAACAACAACAACAACAACAACAACAACAACAACAACAACAGCAGCAGCAGCAACAGCAACGGCAACACTTCCAACGCCAACAGCAGCAAAACTAACAACAGCAACGACAACATCAGCAGCATCAACAACAACCAGAAAAAACAGCAATAACAACAATAGCCACAACAACAGCAACAACAATAGCCACACCAGCAAGAAACACTACAACAACAATAACAACAACAACAACAACAACACCACCAACAACAACAACAACAACACGCCCGACAACAACAACAACAACAACAACAACAACAACAACAACAACAACAACAACAACAACAACAACATCAACAACAATAACAGCAGCAGCAACAACAACAGCAACAGCAACAACAACGATATGGTTAAGACGGTTCGCTAGCATCTGCCCGCGAGGCATCCAACACGTACATCCAAAAGCCCTCAGTGCCCGCCGCCTTCGTCTTCAATCGTACCAACTCTTAGAGGGTATCGTCCCTACCCGCCGCGTGTAGTTGTCGCAGCCCCTGGAACAGGGGAAGGACGGAATGAGTAAAGAGACGAGGGGGGGAGGTGGATGGAGGGTTAGGAGCAGCTGCACACGCGGCAGAACCAGCCTCGCGTGTCAGGCGGGCGGACCCTAACGGGCAGGTCGGGCGGGCGGGCCCAAGACGGCAAAGTCGAGCGGGCGGGTCGCTAAAGCGCCACATCATCGTGAAGGAATTTCCGATCGATAACGCGATTTCCAAATACATGATTCAGAAATCCAAGTAGAAAGCGTGACTTGTAAGTCTTGGGGGCGCGGCGCCGCAAGAACTTGCGAGGACCTCCCACGCGAGAGCGCGGTTCCTGGATAGTGTATGAGGAAGTCCCGCACGAGAGCGCGACTGTGGAATCGCTTGTAGGGGGATCTCAGGCGGGAGCCGCTGTTGTTGGAAACGGGGGGGGCAGGGGCGCAGGTTGGTGACCACAGACCCTCTCGCATAACAAAAAGCAGGTTGCGAGCCTTGAGAATACCACTTGCACTGAAAACATACGATGGCCGCCATGAGGGGTCATGCATACGTATTCATTGGAAGGGAGAAGTCAACACCCAACAACAACAGCATCGACAACAACAACAACCACAACAACAACAACAACAACAACAACAACAACAGCAACAACTACAACAACAACAACTACAACTACAACTACAACAACAACACTCATCGTCTTCAGACTGTTCGCTCATATCTGCTCACGTGCCTATCAGCACGTATATCCCAAACCCTCGGTACCCGCCCTCGTCGTCTTCGATCGTCCCCCCTTCTGGGCATATCTTCCGCACCTGCCACGTGCATGTAGTGCAGCCCCTAAAACAGGGGAAGAGAGGACGGGTGGAAGGGGGAGGGAGAATAATGGAGCACGAGAGAAATCAGCAGGAGGGGGCACGGAGCAGAAAACAAGTGGTAGAACCAGACGGGCAGATCGGATGGGCAGACCCATAGCGGGCAGGTCGGGAAGGCGGGCCCAGGCGACCAGGTCAGGCGGGTTGCTGAAGCGTGGGTCCTGCATGGATCGCGAGGAAGTCTCGAGCGATAGCGCGTTTCCCAAGTGAGTCGTGAGAAAAGCCAAAGCGAGAGCGTGATTCCTGAGCGCCGAGGGCGCATCGTCTGAACAAACATTGAGGAAGTCCCACGCGAGAGCGTGATGCGTACATGAATTGTGAGGAAGTCCCGCGCCAGAGCGCGATTTGGGAATTAATTGTGAGGGAATATCAGCAGAAGCCGATGTTGTTGTAAACCGGGGGCCAGGGGTCCTCTCTAATAACAAAAAACAGGTTGCGAGCCTTGAGAATACCATTTTCATCGAAAAAACACAATGGTCACCTGAGGGGGGATAAACAATACGTATCCATTGGAAGTGAGAATTCAACACCAACAACAACTGCATCAACGGAGCCGTACGGGTCCTCGTCCAAGAGAAGCGGCACGTAGATGGCCGTACCCGCGTTACCTCCGTCGTCTGGGTCGCCCACGGGAACGTTCTACTACGCTGCGCACCAGAGAAGCTTGGTGCCGCATCAGACGCCGAGAAGATGGTCACCCACCTGCAGAAACAGGCGCCCCTGGGCACGACCATGACCGAGATTCTGGAGACCGCGAGATCGGGCACGTTTGAAGACCTCCTCGACCAAGGACGGCCTGACCTACAAGCGTACGAACCACGACAACCACCTTGCGTCGAGGGAGGCGCTTACCTGCCCGAGGAACCAACAGACCGCCATGGAGGAACCCCACGCCATCAGCGCCAGAGCCAGTCTCCTCAACAGCGACACCACGTTCGGGAATACAGCCTGAAGCCGAACCTGCCGCGGTACCTGAAGAATCACTGCCAGCACCTCAAGGCGAAGCAAACCCTACCTCCGAACCACCGACACCAGCCTCCGCGAGACCACCGTCTCGATCGGCACCAGCGAGGGCATCCTCGTTACCGCAACGATCCAGCCCAGCATCAGGTGCATCGGGATCGGCCTCATCAGCCTCGGGGCCACGGTATCGGATGACGAACCGTAGACCCGAACTCGACCTGTATCTCCCTCCGGAGAAGCGCCGCAAGGGCGACGACGAGGTCGATGACGACAGCAACCTGCTCGTGAACCTCTACGAGGACAAGCTGATCATCCTCCTCGGAGCCGACGAGCAGCAATCGATCTACTTTGAGCACCTCCGCGACAAGAATGCCACCCAGCCTGACAAGAACGACAAACAGTAGCATGTGCTAAACGTCTTTGTGGCAAACCAGCGCCGGAAGGACAAGATCGAACTGACGTGGTCCAAGGTGAACGAGGAGGAGCGCAAGGAGCTCGAGATCGATATCGGCAAGGGGACGGACAACTGGGTCCAGCACCGCGGATTACGACCGGTACCCCTCTCCCGCGTGAAGGACACTGCTGACATCATTCGGGCCCGATGGCTTTTCACTCGGAAGGCGGACGGCAGAGCCAAGGCACGACTGGTGCTGCTCGGCTACCAGACCAAGGACCTCGGGAAGGAACCTACTGCGAGCCCTACAGCTTCGCCCCGAGCTCGAAACATCATGCTTGCCGTGGCCGCCGCCAACCACTGGAAGCTGATCAAGGGCGATGTCACCTCGGCCTTCTTACAGGCCAACGAGCTGGGGAAGGATCTTGTCATCGAGCCCGACAGTGTCCTCCGGAAGGCCTTCAATGCCAAAGACGGGGAGCCCCTCCAGGTCATCAAGCCTGGGTACGGCATAGGAGAGGCGCCCCGCCTTTGGCGGGAGACGGTCAAGATCGACTTCGCGAAGTTGGGACTTCAGGCCTGCGAGTTGGAGCCATGCCTGTGGCAGGTGCACTGCCCCCAGACGAATCGCCTCATCGGGATGGCCATGGCCCACGTGGACGACTTCATTCTGGCAGGGGACACCTGGTGCGATGCTGCCTGGGCCACCCGATCCGATGGTCATTCCCAAGGAGGCCACATCTCTGGTCTTGCAAAACTTGAGGGACCTGGGCGCCCCAGCGTGTCCCAGGAGGCCCTGGGAGCGCGGACGCGGCGTAATCTACAAGGGATCGTGGCGTTTGGAACGAGGACCACGCGTAACTTGGGAGGGATCGCAGCCACCAGGGCCATGGACGGTGAGAAGGCGAAGTTCACGGTCCTCGACTGGGGCTGCAAGAAGCTGCGCCGATCAGCTCGCTCGAGCCTCGCCGCCGAAGTCCAGGAAGCTGGAGATGCGGGAGGCGAACATGAAGGCGCCCTGGGACACACAAAATAAATACACACAAATAACAGGATTGCCCATATGTTCCTATATGTTCTGGGTTTTTGTCTTCCCCCCCCATTTCCCATATTTTCACATATTTTCTAGGGAATCGACGATTAATTGTGTCTGTGTGTGTGTGTTTTCCCTCCTGAGTTCAGGAAGCTGGAGATGCGGGAGGCGAACAGTGCAGGGTGCGCATGGTGCTGGCCGAGATCCTTTTCAGCTGACCGCCGACCCTCGAGCGGAACGCTCTGCTCCAGGTGATGGGCCTGTTCTCCACCACCACCACCACCACCACAAGTTGGAGGGGGGAAGGAGGAGGAGAATGAGAGGAGGAGAAGGAGGAGGAGGAGAAGGCGGAGGAGGACGAGGAGGGGGAGGAGGAGGAGAAGGAGGAGGAGGAGGAGGAGGAGGACGAGGAGGAAGAGGAGGACCCCCTCCCGCTCCAACTTATGGTGGTGGTGGTGGTGAAAAAAGCAGGCCCATCACCAGGAGGTGCCAACGGTGCTCGCGACGGACTGCCAGGCGTTCTACGACGGCGGCGTGGCGCGGTCCCAGTCGGCCGGCCTCGGGCTCGAGGAGCGCCTCGACCGCCACCGATGCGCTGGCACTCGGGAGTGCCCTCGACGAGGGCAGGACGCTGGCCCGGTGGGTCCACTCGAATGCGCAGATGGCGGGCGGGCTCACGAAGGGGCAGCTGGCAGGCACTCGGAGCGCTGAAGCTCTTCCTCGAGAAGCGAGAAGTGGCGGCTGGCCTCACGAGCGCGAGGCAGCGGGCCGCCCTTGGCCAGGGCTTCTTCGACCCGACCGGTCCGGACGACATGCAGCCTGCTGAGGAGGTGATCGAGAAGAGGCGCCAGATGCGGAGAGCGCCACCCACTGAGGGGAACCTACCAGACACATCCGAGCAGCAGGTCACAGCACGGCCATCGGCGAACACTACAGCAGGTAATCGTGAGGAGACTTGCCAGCTCGCGTCAGTTGTGCGATCGATCGGGCCACCCTGGCCCGGGCCACACGGCAGCCCTTTTTCCCCCTGTCTGAATGCTACGCTGTGAATCTATCCTAGCCCTGCCTTTCCATATTCATTATTCATTCACAGCCTGCCGTGTGTGTATGTGCGTTGATCAGCAACTTCTGCCACTGCCGCCTCGGCCCAAAGGCGCGGGCATCGGGGAGAGTCCGAGACAATGCTGGGCAAGAGGTGCCCATCCACTACCATCCTTTCCTGTTCGAGGGAATCGGTTTCATTCAGAATATCTCCAGGGAGCCAGAGAAGATCAGCAGCCTGATCCGGGCCCACCTGGGGCTCTCTGGGATTCAGACGGCAGGAGGGGCGAGACGGAGCGGAGAGGAGGGAGGAGGGAGGAGGGAGGGAGGAGAGAGGGGAGAGGAGGGGAGAGGAGGGAGGGACGGAAGGAGGGAGGGAGGGGAGGGAGGAAGGGAGGGAGGGAGGGAGCGAGGAAGGGAGGGAGGGGGGGAGGAAGGGAGGGAGGGAGCGAGGGAGGGAGGGAGGGAGTGAGGGAGGGAAGGGAGGAGGCGGAGGAGGAGGGCAACCAGGAGGAGCAGGGGACGAGGAGGGAGGAGAGGGTCACAGGGTCTGGAGGACGGGTCAGACGGGGGAGGAGATCAGAGCGAAGAGCCAGCAAGCAGGGCAGAGGGGCTGCAGGGATCTCAGGAAGCCGCAGGGGCGGTGAACAACGGGGCACCAAAAAGGCCAGGGAACAGTGCGAAGAAGGGAAGCACGCCCCCCAGCACGACCCCAGTCTCCGACGATCTGATACAATCGGACCTGGGACAGAAGAACATCCTTTAAGAGCACGAGACCCCCCGCTGGCCAAAACACAGAGCATCCAAGGGCACCCGCCGCAGGATGCTCAAGAACGTCCAACAAGATCAAAGACCATTGGGATACCCTTTCCAGAGCCGACTTTGATCGAATACCTCGGCCCAACAATTTCGCCGCGTGTTTGACGAACTCCGAGCCCTACTCCCGCCGCCTATCGAATTGCTCGGCGAAGGCAGGGCTCGGATATCGCCGCCGACCCAGGCTCCCGCATGGCAAGCTCACTGCGCCAGTCGCGAGCGGCCGAGCTGCGCAGGCGGAGGGGCGGCGGGGGGGGGGGCCGCGCTTCAGCCCTCACAGAACGGGTGCACACGCGCACCGGCTGGTGAACATGCACTCGGGACCACGAGGGAGCCAAGAGACCCGGAACACGGGACGAGGGACAGAAAGGCAGCATCCTTCGCTTCGTTGTTCTTCGGCGTCTTTCGCTTCGCTTCGCGTCGTCCTTTGCTTCGCTTCGCATCTTCCTTCGCGTCTTCCTGCCCGTGCTGCTGCTCACGTCTTCCTTCGCTTCGTTGCTCTTCGGCTCCACCGCAATTTGACGATCGAAGAAGGACTCCACCGATGGGGACCAGGAGGAGGAGGAGGAGGAGGAGGAGGAGGAGGAGGAAGAGGAGAAGGAGGAGGAGGAGGAGGAGGGAGGAGGGAGGAGGGTAGAAGGAGCAGGAGCAGGAGGAGGAGGGAGGAGGGTAGAAGGAGGAGGGCAGAAGGAGGAGGGTAGAAGGAGGAGGGTAGAAGGAGGAGCGGGAGGAGGAGGAGGGTAGAAGGAGGAGGAGGAGGAGGAGGAGGAGGCGGAGGAGGAGGAGGAGGAGGAGGAGGAGGAGGAGGAGGAAGGGGGGGGGGGCGGCGGGGCCTTGTGGCACAGCATGATCGGCGGCGCGCCGCTGAGACGGGCATCGCCCCGGGGAATGTTCACCACGTCGTCCTGCGGGCCCCCCTCCTCCTCCTCCTCCTCCTCTCCCTCCTCCCTCCTCCTCCCTCCCTCCTCCCTCCCTCCCTCCCTCCCTCCCCTCCCTCCCCCCTCCCCTCCCCCCCTCCCATCCTCCCTCCCATCCTCCTCCCTCCCTCCCTCCCTCCCTCCTCTCCTCCTCCTCCTCCTCCTCCTCCTCCTCCTCCTCCTCCTCTCCTCCTCCTCCTCCTCCTCCTACTACTCCCCCTCCTCCTCCTCTTCTTCCTCCTCCTGCTCAGCAGCAGCAGCAGCAGCATCATCGTCATGCTTCTCCTCCGCCTCCTCCGCCTCCTCCGCCTCCTCCGCCTCTCGCCCCGAGGCGCTCGCGGCGGCGTCCTGCGGCACGGGAGCGGGAAGCCCAAGGCGTCGCCCCACGAGGCGGAGGCGCCGCCCGCCCCTCGGCCGCCCGAGCTCAACGATGCCCAGCACGCGTGCTGGCGCCAACGTGTGCTTGTCCATCGGTCGGCCGCTCCACGGCGACGCGCCTCGCCATGCGAGTGCCCTCCCCTCCCTTCCTTCCCATCCCTTCCCTCCCTCCCCTGCCTCTCTTCCCCTCTTCCCCTCCCTCCGTTCCCTCCCTTCCCTCCCTTCCTCTCCCCCTTGTCTTCTCCCTTCCCTCTTTTCTCCTGCCCCTCACGGCCGCCTTCGCCTCTCTTCCCCTCCTCCTGCCGCCGGTTAATCTGCGCATTCCGCTGCCCGGACCGCCTGAGCGGCATGTGCGGACTGCCTCTGCCGCGCTGCGGCGCGAAAGTGTTCGTCCATCGAAACCCTTCGGCACGACGCAGGCAATGTAATGATCTACCAGTGGAGCTGAAGGGAGTAAGCACCTGTTGGGCGAACACGCATCCTGAGGATCGTCGGCGAATGCAGGCAAGTCCTGGCCAAGCCACAGCATGGCACGACCACCAGAGAAGGCTTGGGTGCCGACTTGGCGGGCGCGGGCCGCAGCCGTCATCGGCCTCAGCTCGGCAGGACATCAGCGAGGTCCAAGGATCGGAAAACCGCGCGCGCAAGAGAGAGAGAGAGAGAGAGATCAAGAGAGCGAAAAAGGGATGAGTAAAAAGTCGCGGATGCATCCCGAGGCAAGCTGTGAAGGTGCACTCAGTGCGGTCCCCCATTTAACAACTCGTGCATCATGGTAGAAGCGCCCCAAACAGCAAGGGTAAGTGTGAGGTGGTGTTTCACTGCATTCGAGTGGGTGTATCCGCACGCGGCCATCACCAATGATAATGGCATGTGCCTTATAATATGGGCCGACGTGCCGATTGGCCCAACATCTGGCCAGAGAGTCTGACCATAGTGCTCTGCCAATGGCAGTTGCGACAGATCGAAAGATTGTCGAATGGATGTGCTGAAAACATGCCAGGCAGACCGTGTGAGGAGCGAGCAAATGATCAGCGCTGGCTGCGATCGAGGTGATCGACCGTGTCGCTTTGCACAGACAGTGTCCCTGCCCCGCCCCTCCACACATATCGGGCACAACTCCATCATGATTGTGTACTTGAAGTTGTACTCGTTGCTGTTCGCGTCGTGCGAGATAAGCTTCCTCGGCCGCCCACAGACGGCGAGGCGGGGACGTCTGCATGACCACCGCCTGGGGCATCGACCCGCGGGAGCCTCGGCAGGCGGTGGATGCGGGCACACTTGGGCCCCCCGGGGGCCCGAACCTCCTGTCCATGCCCACCGCCTGCCGAGGCCCCCGAAGATCGACCCCCGAGGCCGTGGCTCATGGGCACAGCCCCCGCCACGGCCGTCTGCACTCGTCGGCCGAGGGCCGAGATCTGTGTTCTGCCCGCTGCAGGCCACCTCACTCCGTCGCAACGAACGGCCTCCACGAGGGACCGGAAACCAGTGGGTGGGAGAGAAATGACCAATCCCCTGACGCTGCGGAGTCGCTACCACCGGCACACCACCAGGAGGGCAGGGTGCGCCGATGCCGCTCCGCGAAGCACAACTCCAGGACGGACCGACTCCCCCATGCTGCCGGATTTGCTCCAACATCTCGGCAGCGCGCTCGGGGAGGGGGGAGGCCGAGGGGGCCGGCCTTCTCAGAAGGCGGATTTAGCAGCCTTCTCGCCTCCTACGAGGACTTCTGAACCATCTCTGAGGCCACAGAACGGGCGTCTTGAAGAGGGGGGCTTCTGAGAAGCCACACCGCCTTCTTAGAAGGCCCGCCCCCTCTGCCTTCCCCCCAGACGGCCCGCCGATACATTGTTTGCTACCGTGGAGCATGTAGGACACACCAAAAGCAAGTCCGTGTGTCACGATGCCAGAAGCCTCGACTGCGAGCACCGATGTGTGTGCAGTGTTAGGACGGATTCCGTTGAACGTACAAGCCTGATTATGCTTACAAGGCCAAGGTCCATGAAGCACGCTCGCACAAGGGCAGCAGACGAGCGCAGAGGGCACTACATGACTGATAAAACCTTCTCTAAGAGGCGGCAGATGGCATGTGCAGCTACGTGTTCATGCACAACGTCCTGTGTTTTTTTTGTCACCGTTGACCGACCAGTTATGACAGTGCGACAGCCGCATCTAAAACAGTGGCTACACCGTACGCAGCAGCGGTTGCGGCCAGCACGCGGAGAACGGTTTGCTCAACGCACGCTTCTACGCGCACGAGCTTTTGCGACACCACTGCTTCAAAGCATCACAGTTGAAAGACCAGTGTCTTCCCGCGCCGAAGCAAGCCCCCGACAAGGGCTCTCGCTGCCGAGTGGGGGCACAGGCGTGGTCGCCGCCGAGAAGCCAAAGGTATAGAACGTCCAAGCGGACAGTTGGGCCCGACAGCCCCAAGATGCAACCTGGGAGTGCTCCAAGCGCTTCCGTCGTAAAAGCTTCGCTGGGAAACTATAGACGGGACCAGTCTTTGTGGACTCCCGACTGTGCTCTGAGCGTAGAAGTGCGCATGGCACTCGTAGCCCGACCGCCCTGGTAGACGCAGCTATGACGCAGCAGATCACAGCGCCATCCACTTGAGCTGGAGTCGACGATCCGCCACCGTGCCCCCTGGCACGTCGAGTTTTGCTGGAATGCCAGGTGCTGCCTGGCAGGGGTCTCCACAATCTTCTATCGGGGGCGCGCAAACATGGATTAGCGATCCATGGATCTGGCGCGCGGTCGCCTAATATCCATGGACAAGTGGCGGTGCCCAACCCAAAAGGCGACCGGTGCCGCCTCGCTCGGCGGCGGGAATTCGCGAGTTCCCAAGGAAACTGGACCCGTCGCTATTCTACGCCCCCTTTGGTCCATGTTTGCGATCGCCAGAACCGTTAGAATGCCGGGTGCTGCCTGGCAGGGGTCTCTACAATCTTCGAAGGAGGAGGAGGAGGAGGCGGAGGAGAAGGAGGTGGAGGAGGCGGAGGAGGAGGAGGAAGGAGGACGAGGAGGAGGAGGAGAGGGAGGGAGGAGAGGAGAGGGAGGAGGAAGGCCCTTCCGCCTCGTCGCATCCCCCTGCGCGCACCGCCTCCCTGTCCGAGGCTCCGTCGGCGCCCAGACACGTCCCTGGCGCTCTCGGGACGCGCCCACCTGCGTGCACCACCCCCTCCTCCCCGAGGCCTCAGCCCCTCGCAAAATTCGCCGGCCCAACGGGCCAGAGGCGTGCTGAGATCTCCAGTAACGGGTTTTAACAGCATTCCTGGTGCGCGCGCGCGCGGGGCGGCCCCTGGGGGTCCCCTGGCGAAAAGTACCCCGAGCGCCGCCCGGGCGCAGCCCGGCCACACTCTACTCAGAGATGGTGTTCCTCCCGGGTGCGGTCTCTGAGGCCCCCCAGAGCGCGCCAAGAGGGCCCCAAGAGGCCTCCAAGACACCCCCAAAAGCGCTCCGAGTCACCGAACGAGCGGTCCAAGACGCCCAAGATGGCCTTCATACGGCCCTCGAGGCCGCCGAGAAGCCCCAAGAGAGCCTCAAGAGGCTCTCCAAGAGGGCTCCAACAAGCAAAAATCGTCACATCCTCCTAGGAAAACATATATGTTTCGCATATACGACGTCTAGGGTTCACAGCGTCCAGACGTGCCCAAGAGGCCCCCAAGATCGCCCCAAGACGGCCAAACAAGCCACCAAGATAAGCCCAAGAGGGCCCAAGAGGGCCCCAAGACAGTCCCAGAGACGTCCATAGTGGACCAAGACTCCTCCAAGACGGCTCTAAAAGCGAACCCCAAACGGGGCACCCGAACGGACATTTCGAGCTTTTGGCCCAGAGAGGTCCCCAGGAGGCTCCAAGAGGCCGCCAACACGCCCACGGAGGCCCCCCAAAGGCCCTCAAGATGCTTCAAGAGGCCCCCCAGAGGCTCCAAAGAAGCTTCGAAGAGGCTCCCAAGAGGCCCCACGGGGGCTCTCTTGGGCTGTCCTGAGGCGCTCTGAAGCCGTTTTGAAGCCCTCTTGAGAGCCTCTGGAAACGTTTCGGGGCCGCCGCTCCCTGCAGCTCCGCACTGCCGACGACCTCTCGGCCAGGCCACCGCGGTGCGCAATATGGGCCGGCGGAATGAGCGAAGCGATTCAATAAAACAGCTTCGCGCTCCCGAGGCCCAGATGCCTCCAAGGCGGCCCAATATCGCTCCAAGACGTGCCACGCTGGCCTCGCCAACGAGGCCATCGACGCCTCCCATGAGAGCACCAAGAGCAGTCCCAAGCGAGCACCGAGAGGTAAGCATCCTTAGTGGTCCTTAGGTGGCTCGATGTTTTTCGGGTTCTCGCCTTTTCGAGCTTCCGACGTCCCAAAACGACCCAAGAGGCTACCATGACTGCCCCGAGACGGTCCAAGAGGCCCCCGAGACGGCCCCAAGACGGCCCAAGAGGGTTCCAAGACGGCCCCAGAAGCGCCCAGCAATGCCCAAGAGGGCCCCAAAACTGCCTCAAGAAGGGCAAAAGAGAGCCTTCCGCCCCAAAAGGGCTCAGGAGTTCCCAAGAGGGCCAAAAGAGGCCCCCAAGAAGCCTCACAGAGGACCCCGAGGGGCAAAAACCATTGACTGTCCGCAGCAGTTTCAATGTGTTTCGGGTTCTCGCCTTTTCGAGCTTCCGACGCTCAAAGACGGCCCAAGAGATTACCAAGACCCCCGAGACAGCTTAAGAGGCCCCCTAAGAGCTCGAAGACTGGCCCAAGAGGACTCCAAGTCGGCCCAAGAGGCGCCCCAGACCGTCCAAGAGGGCCCCAAGACGGCCCCAAGAAGGGCCCACGAGTGGGACACGATCCAAGATCTTGAGCGTGATGCCCCAAGAGGCCCCCAGCAGGCCCCTTGCCTTCTTGAATAGTTGCCACCCAAAATGCTGCGCTGGCACCGTGGTGGAATTGCCAGAGGCAGCTGGAGAGTAGACACATTCCGCGTCCACGCACGCATCAACACATACAATGAGACGTATACACGTGCGCCATCTAAAAGTCAGATCAGGGTTCGACGCACGTGTACATGCGAAACTATCTGGTTGCATACCCGTGCATGCGTGTGCACACCCATGCATACGCGTGCAAATGCAAAGCACAGGTTTCGCCCGGCACTTGCCAAAGGTATGCGGCAACCCCGACAAACCATCGCGAGCCCTTCCATACCAATCAAGCTGGCACCCAACGTGTCGTGCGAAGGGTTATTTTGCAGCACCTTTAGAGCAGGGGCCCATACAGTTGCCGTGCTACCATGAGGAGCGCTGAATAAGGTACGAGCTCTGCTGGCCACGGCAGACCTCGGCCACTCAAAGGTTCCCCGACCTGAACCTAAGGAACGGGCCGAAAACCAGAGCCCCTCCTGAGCCCAAAGTGGTCTTGCTCTCAGCGGCTTAACTGCAAGCGGGAGCCCAGCAAATCCAAAGTGAAGGTAACATGAATTCTCCAGCAGAGCACTAAGCCCGCCCGGGCACACTCTTGAGCGAAGACCGAGTCCTGGAGAGCTTGTGCTTGGCAGGCACGCAGCCAGCCTGAGGGCAGGCAGGGTCGGACAGTTCCAAGGCGGGTTGCGGACAGGAAAGGATCAGCAGGGGGGGTTAGGGGACAACTGCTGTAAGGTCTTCGTACGAGCTATGAAAAGCGACTAAGCCTGATTGAGAGCCCACAAAGCCAGATTAGGCCGAATCAAGCCCAGGATTCAGCCGGACTGAGCGGGAGTCCACGGGAGTAAGCGCAATTCAACGGGAGTATGCCGGATTGGACCGGTGCTCGACCACGGATATCACAGCGCCGATGCTAAAACTCGACCTCCCAGGAGTTGCATCCGAAGAAGGTGGGTTGCGGACAGAAGAGGGCTAGAAGGGTGTGCGGTGATGCAACTCAGGCAGGGTTGGAGTCCTGGTGTTGCTGCATGGTCGGGCCAATCCCAAGGAGCCTTGGCCCAAACAGATCACGGGTGAGCTCGACATCCGCATGACGAATGACCAATCGCGAAAAGTGCGAACCTTCAAAGACAAGAAAAGGAATTCTGTAGTACGCTTTTGGTGCCGCCGCACGCTGCGACAGCGTGGACGGCGTGGTGCCTCAACACCTTCGTCGAGCGAAGCGGCCGCCTGAGCGGAACCGTCGGGCAATACACTGTTAAATAAACTCACTAACAATCATCACCCCAAATGGCAAGAACCGGCCCACGTGCCTTGGCCGATGATCACCCCTGGCCATATGCCCTATCATGCGGCATGCGGCATTGCAACGGTTCTCACAGCAAGAAGATGGCGTGACATGGGCTCGTTTGCCTCCGTCGCCCTCCGTTCTCTCCGCTCCAGTGTCCATCGATATATCAACTCTCAACTCCTTTGCCTGTCTGCATCCAAATGCACGAACATGGCCCCCCTCGCCGCACGACTGCTCATGTACGATTGTGTCCTGGCTACTCGAGCTGCTCCGTTGTTCGTTCACCACGTCTCCCTCCAACTCTTACTCATCAACTTCCGCATTCTCATCCCACATAAGACCTGCTGAGATCTGCACTCTCCCTGCACTTCCCTCGGCAGGGAGGGGCCACGAAATCCGCAAAACGCTGCGCGTGGCTGCGCTGCTGAAAGTGGAAGTCCAACCCCTCGCGCGTTTCCTTCAAGGACACCACCTCTCTACCCTCCAAATCGTGAGGCACGGACGGCTGATGCAAGCTACACTGCGCTGTTCGTTCGGAAGGCAACGCTACTGTTACAAGTTGAATGGACGCCGGCCATATACTGGGACACGGCGCACACGCCAACCTACCCACTGGGACCGAGAGTTCAAGAAGGCCTGAAATCGTCTTAGGATGGGGTTCAGCTCCAGCTGGTTCTTGTGAGCAACGCCAACTGCTCCCTCTGACACCATTCTCCCAACACCCGAGGCCGAATATCGCTCCTACGAGGCCACTCCCCACCTCCGCACAACATAACCAACGCTGCACAATCGAAAAACTACTAAAAGCACAGAGCTACAGGCAGCAGGAAGAAACAGCCGCAAAACGACTGTACATGTGATGAACTGTCCGTCCCTCTGCTGCATGCATTGATCCCATGGTGCATCAGTTGCCCTCAGGGCAACCCTTGGTGTGCACTTCCTGTGGGCCTTCATCGGCCTCTTCTGTCAGTGAAACCTGCCGAGGACGTCACAGGACCCGCCAGATGCTGCAGGGAGAAACCCGGTTAGAAGAGGCGCGCGCCCTCTGGAATTGCACCGAGCATGCGCGAAAGGAGAGGAAGAGACGACGAGGAAGATAAAGGCAAGCAAGCGAAGAGGAGGCGGGCAGGGGAAAGATGAGGATGAGGAGGGGGCAACGAGGCAGACAACCCAAATTGACAGGCCACACAAAACGAGGCCGACCAGGCAGATGAGACAAACCGCAAAACATATCAGACCAGATAGACTGGAAGCCCCATTGAAAACCGAAAGGGCCCGAATGCCAGCTGAATATCAAACACGATCAATGGAACTACCCCATTTCGTCGTGGCAACGCGAATGGGTATGTTTTAACTAATGGCAGAAACCACCAGACGATCCATCCGATTGCCAGATGATGTGACCGTGCGGCGTCTTACGAATGCGTGGACGCGCCATCCAAACCTTGTCGTGGGCGTCGCTCTTGAGAATCAGCTGCTCCAGGTAACAGAACGTCCTCGCCAGCGGGCATTGGGGGGGGGGAAATATGGACGGGCCAGGGTAAGCTATATGTTCAAAGAGATTTACCCTGACGGAAGCCCTGTACGCGAATAAACGCGATATACACTTGAACAGCAGCCCTTTCATCAAGGGAGAAGCGGGACATAGAGAGAGGATAGAGAGGGAGAGAGAGCGAAGAGAGAGAAAGAGAGAGGAATAGAGAGGGAGGGGACGACACGAAACCGGGGGCGCCACCAGAGTGAAGAGCGAAACAGGAACCCTGACAAGCACGCCACGTGTATCGATGCGCCGCTTCGTGGCTGCCTGGACTGCTGGGATGCTGAATGGCAACGCTCATGCATGCTCAAGACCCGCTGCACTTGCACGAGCGAGCTCTCAAGCGTTGCGGGGGCACCAGCAGAGCGGATTGCTTTGGGGTCGTTGCTCGAACCGCACGTCGCCTCGGCACGGGCCGCTCGGCGGCTTCAAAAACTGGCACGGAGGCGCCGTCGCTCAGTTGAGCCACTTGTTGCCCACGTCCCTCCTGACGCCCTGCACCTCAGGCGCAACCCCCCTGATCCTGGCCTGATCCACAGCCCGATCCAATGTCGGCGGTGGAAGAGCCTCCCTTTGGTAAACCTCCCTTGAGTGAAAGCGGCCGGGGACCGAAACCGACGGACCTGGACCCGCAAAAACGACGGCCGCGACGCCCTCGCGCGAACCGACAACGGCCAACTCGCTGACCGGCGTGTCAGGGCGGGAGGTCTGTCCACCTCCGACCACGCCCGAGCCAGCGCAGATCCTCCGGGTCCACCCGAGAAGCGCGAGGCGCTCTGCCGCTCGAGGCCCCGCTCGACCGCCCTGGCCCCGGCCGATCCGGCGAGCCCCACGATGGAGCCCCGCCGACAGACCATGGGGCAGTGCAAAGGGGGGTCACCACCAGGGGGGTCGCCACTTCCTCGAGGAAACGCCACTTCCTCGAGACTTCCTCGAGGAACTGGGCCCCCCAAAGCCCCGAAAACGCAAAGAAACGTCCAAGCACATCCTCGACCCCTCGACCCTCCATCCTGGAACCTCGATTTCCAGGAGAAGCTGGCGACCCCCCCAGTGGTGACCCCCCTTGGCACTGCCTGAGACCAGGGCATCGTCGACTTTGAACCGGGGATGGACAGAACCCCCTGTAGTAAAACGCGGCTTAGTGAAAACGGCCTCGGGCCCAAACCTGGCGGGCGCAAGCCTGGAAAATGACGGCCGCGGCGCCCTCTCGAGAACCGAAAACGGACAATTCACCAATCGACGTGTCAGGGTGGGGGTTCTGTCCACCCCCGATTGAATGAGGAGGACACGGGAGAGGACGGAAGACCCGTCCGAGGGCCACATTGCCACAGGAATGCAGAAGCCATGGGTCGCTCAAAGGCTGCCTCTGATTTGGCGAAGGGTCCACCTGCTCGTCAAACTCAACCGTCCTCTGTGCGGGGCGGGGAGGTATCCATCACTACACCACCGATCTTCGGCAGCCTCGGCACGCAGTGGATGTGAAAATATCTGGGCCCCTGGGGGCCGAACATATCAACCTCCACCGCCTGCCAAGGTCCCCAAAAGGAAGACCCCCCAGGCGGCGATGCTGGACACATCTCCGCCTCGGACTCTGAGCCCTGCGCGATGAGGCCGAGCATGAAGACGCAGAGCATGCCCCCGTAGGCGGCGCCCTCCAGGACCTTCCGGTTGTACGCCTTTGATGGGCCTTCTTTCCACCACCACCACCATGAGTTGGAGGGGGAGGAGGAGAGAGTGGGAGGAGGAGGAGGAGGAGGAGGTGAAGGAGGAGGAGGAGGACCCCATCCCCCTCCAACTTATGGTGGTGGTTGTGGTGGAAAAGAGGCCCATCGGCCTCGGCGGCGTCAATCTCCGCCGCGAGCGCGGGCGCCGCGCCCGCCAGCGCGGCGGCGGCGGCGGGCGAGAGCTCCAGGAGGCGGGCAGGGCTGGCCTCGGACGGACAAGCAAGGGACCTGCCCCGAGAGCCCAGGCTGCTTGGTTGTTTACATCTATGTATATATATATATATATATATATATATAGATCAGAAAAAATCACTACGGTGGGGGCGGTGGTTAAGGAATGTGCTCAGGAGGCTTCAGACCCTTGGGGATTCCTTACGTGATGAGAGCGGGGGTGATGCCTGTGGCCCATCCCCGACTACACTTCCACCAGCTTCCGAGCCCCGGATCCTTCGCACGTAGCCATCGGAATGAGTTCACCGTTCACCTCAGCGGCGCCAGGCACGGCGCAGCTGCCATCTCACTTTGGGGACTGCTTCAATTGCCCGCTCCAGTGGTTCCTTCTCCAACGCCCTCGCCGTAGCATAAGCTTTCGGAGGCCCGCGCAGAGCTCCCAGGTCGCAGTGCGCTGAGGGAGGCGGGGCGGGGAGGCGGCCCAGTGCCAGCCCAGGAGATCCGCGCGGCAGGGCTCGAGCTAAACAGTGCTTTTCGGTATCGTGTTGGCTCTGGATTCCTTCGGTCTGTCTTCGTTCTGCCTCTGCTGCGAGACGAGATCGAAGCGAAAGCGGTCCAGGAGATCGCCAAAGCACCGTCTAGCGCGAGCCCTGCCGCGCGGATCTCCGCAAGCTCATGCCTGCACACTTTATTGTTCTTGTTGTGCTCGAGAGAGGGAGGGGGATCGGAAGCGGAATCTCCACACTGAGGGCCCCCCCCACATCCTGGCCAAGCCGACGAATCGGTCCCTCTATCATCCTCGGGGATCTACTGACCCGGGTCAGTCCAAACCTGGGCCAGTCGGGCTTTGAAGGATCTTGCAGGACCCTGCACGAGCCTGCGGAATCCTGCACGCAGGCCCGGGTCAATGCACCCCTGGCTCTGCAGGAGCCTGCAGGATCCCGGCGCTCCGGCTGACCCCGTCTGCATCGACCCCCGCCTCTTGATCCCCGGACATCCGTTCGGGCCTGCGGCGCTGGCACGAAGGCGCAGCGGAGGCCAAAGGCGACGAGCGCCAGCACCAGGAGCGAGCTGATGAGCGGGGTGCGCGGCATGACTGCGCCGGGCGTCGGGCGGGGGTGCTGACAGTCCGTCTCACGGGGGCCGAGGCCTGCTGGGCGCGAGGACGCTCGGGCCAGGCGTGGAGAGGAAACGGATGTTCGAGGCAGCGAGCGCACGAACGGCAGCACGTCGTCCACAAAAGCATACAGCGCACCCACTGCCAATGCTTTTCCTCTGCCAGGCTAGGTGGGGCAACCATACTGCTCCTGCCACTCTATGCTAGTGAGCGTCGTTCTGATGTCTGCGCCTCCCAGCATCCTGACAACTGCTGCATTCCCTGTGGCATCGGGGAGGAACCTGGCCCGCCGATGGGTGGTTTAATGGACCCTCGCCTCACTCGCGCTCATCAAGTGCAAGCGTGATGGCAAACTCCTGCCCGCCTCTCGCCGAACCTCTCCCACAAAAGGGTGGGTCGAAAGGGCGCCCGGGGAGAAATCCTCTCGATGGTGGCGCCTGCTGCTAATATCAATTTCAAGATATGGCTTTGCGACTGCCCACGCACACATACCTTCATACATACATACACACATACATACATACATACATACATACATACATGCATGCATGCATGCATACATACAAGCATGTATGCATGCATGCATGCATGCATGCATGTATACGTACATGCATACACGCATACATTCAAACATACATGCATCCATACATCCAAGAATGCATACAAACATACATGCATACACATACATACACATACATATACATACATACACCTACATACACCTACATACACATACATACATACATACATACATACATGCATACGTACGTACGTATCTACCTATACGACCACCCTTCGGGTGATGAGGAGGTTCGGGGGGGGAGGAACCAACGCCTCACTCGATCGGCCTCACGATCGACCTTACTATCGATCTCACTCTCGGTCTCGCTCGATCGAGCTCACTCGATCGATCTCACCATTGATGTCACTCGATCTATTTCATTCGATCGATCTCACGATCGATATGACGATCGATGTCACAATTGATCGATCTCACTATCGATCTCACAATCTACCTCACATTCGGTCCAATTATCGATATCACTGTCGATAACACAATCGATCTCACAATCAACGTCATCATCATCATCGACATCATCGTCACCAACGTCATCTTCATCATCATCATCATCATCATCATCATCGGAACACCATCATCATCACATCATCACCACTAGCATCATCATCACTAGCATCATCATCACTAGCATCATCATCATCGGGACACCATCATCGTCACCATCATCATCATCAACACCATCATCATCGGGACACCGCCATCATCAGCATCGGAACAATATCATCACCATCAGCATCTCATCATCACCATCATGAACAAAATCGCCAACAGCATCACCATCGGATAATTGTCATCACCAGCATCAGTACCATCATCATCACCAACATCAGCATCATCGGGGCACCATCATCATCGTTACCATCATCATCACCAGCATCATCATGGGGACACCATCATCATCATCAACATCAGCACCATCGTCGGGCAACCACCACCAAAATCATCATCACCTCAGCATCATCCTCATCATCAACAACAGCATCATCACCATAGAACACCATCATCGTCAGCATCATCATCAACATCATCATCATCATCATCATCATCATCGGGACACCACCATCATCATAACCATCATGATCAGCCGCATCATCATCAATATCATCAGCATCATCATCGGGACACAATCATCATCATTATCATCATCATTATCATCATTATCATCATCATCTTCATCGTCATCATCCCATCACCTTACCATCATCAGCATCATCAAGATCATCAACATCATCACCGGCACACCATCATCATCAGCAATATCAGCATCATCAACACCATCATCATCGAGACACCATCATCATCACCACCGTGGCCATCATCATCATCACCATCATCATCATAATCGGGACACCACCATCATCATTACCATCACCAACATCATAATCCTCGGGACACCATCATCATCATCATCATCATCGGCTCACCTTCATCATCATCATCAACATCATCTCCTCACCATCATGACCAACATCAGCAACATCATTATCGGGACACCAACATCATCAGCAACATCATCATCATCAACATCATCATCATCGGGACACCATATTCATCGTCAACATCATCATCATCACCACCATCATCATCATCATGACCATAATCGGGACACCATCATCATCAACAACATCATCATCATCATCGGGACACCACCATCGTCATCATCATCATCGACATCATCATCATCGGCACACTATCAGCAGCATCAACATCATCATCATCGACAGCATCATCAGCAACCTCATCATCATCATCATCTCATCATCATCATCAACATCATCCGAATCACCAACATCATCGTTATCATCATCGGGAACCCATCATCATCATCATCATCGACATCAGCATCATCAACATCATCATCGGGACACCATCATCATCACCACCATGGCCATCATCATCATCAACATCTCGTCATCATCATCATCATCGTCATCATCATCATCATCATCATCATCATCATCATCATCATCATCGGGGCACCGACGGGACACCGGCGGGACACCGGCGGGACACCGCGGGGCACCGGTAGCTGGAAGAGAGACTTTTGGTCCGGCCGCGCCTCAGCCAAGGAGGCGGGACATGTCTCGCCCACCCACGCAGCTTCGCCTCGCCCGCACGCACGGCACGCACGAACACGAAACCGAAACCGATTTCCCGATAGGGGGGCTCTGCGTTCCACTTCGATCTCACCCACTCACCTCCGACATACGTATATGTACGCATACGTACATGTATGTATACATGCATGCCTACACACATACATACATTCGTCCATACATACATACATACATACATACATACTTACGTACATACAGACATACATACTTACATACAGACAGACATACATACATAAATACATGCACACACCCAAACAAGCATACATACATACATACATGCGTGCATGCATGTCTGCATGCATTCATACATGCAAACATAGATGCATGCATGCATACATGCATGCAAACATACTTGTAGCTAACCGTGCACACCTACATACACACATGCATACATATATATACAGACATGCATGCATACATATACATATATGCACACATACATACATACATGCATACATGCATATATATATATGTATATATATATACATATGTGTATACAAATATGCATACATACATACGTGCATAAACGCATACATATGCGTGCATGCATACGTACGCACGTACATATATGCATGCATGCATACACAGATACATGCATACAGACATGCATACGTACACACGCGCAGCTATACAGACATACATACATGCATGCAGTCATGCATGCCTGCATGCATGTTTACATACATACATACATACGTGCAGACATGTCTGCGTACAGACATACATACGCACAAACAGACATGCACCTGTAAATGCATGCATGCATACATACATACATGCATGCATGCATACATACATTCATAATACGAACATACGTTATTACGTATTTGCACTCTCTCTCTCCCTCTCTCACACACACACACTTACGTCGCGGCCACGCGCGAGGCGGGCGCGGCGTGGGTCAAGTCGAGCGGACGCGCGCGGGCCGGGCCAGCTCACGTAGCATGGCGAAGCCGGATCCACACATAGGGGATCGCCAGAAACACTCGCGAAGGGGCACTCGCGAGGGGAGAGGAGAGGGGAAATAAAAGGGGAAGAGGGGGAAACGGCGACAGGGAGAAGCAGTGCGACGGAGACGTCGGGGCATCAAGCGAGGCGGTGAGGTTGTTGGCAACGGCAACTGGCCGGGATGGAGAAACAGGGAAGGCGTGAGAGGACCTGGGCCAGCCAGGGAGCACACACACACACAAGCACGCACACACGCAATCACGCAAACACCTGCCCGCGGACGCGCCAAGCCAGAAAGCCCAGATGGCGGAGGACCTGGCAGTGGGGATGCCAGTGACTAGGACTTGTTTCGTTATGGAGCGCGTGGCAAGACTGAACTCCCGCGCGCAGTGGCGAGCTGGGGCTGGAGAAAAACCAGCGGTGCAGGGCGGAGAACGGGCGCGGGGTGCGGAGGCGGGCAAGGAAGCACCACCGGCAGGCCAAGCCGAGTGGGCGGAGATTCAAGATGGCAAGAGGGACGGACAGAGCGGGGGCGGTGTATAGAGAAAGCGACAGGGCCAGGCAAAAGAAAGCGAACGAGAAAGAGAGGTGGCCGGGTAGCCCGCGGACACCGGCCGCAGACAATCCTGCGGCTGCAACGCGATACCCGAAGGCTGGTGAAGGCCAAACGCGAGGAACCGTCAGACTGCCAAAGGGTGCACAGCAGAGGAGGACCAGAAAGGACGAGGAGCAGGAAAGGGGACGAGAGGTGGTGGGGACGCAGGGCGAGACCGACCATGCCCGTCGGCGGTGACGGAGCTGCAGCCGCCCCCAGTGCGCCATGGGGGAGGCGGCGGCCAAGCACTGCGTCACCAGCTAGGCCTGCCATCCAACACATACAGCGCCACCGGAGCTGTGCTGACCACACACACACACGCTTTCCCATCCTCCGGCGCGACGCTGAGTTGCAGTCGGTAGTTCCCAAGATACGCAGGCACTCCTGCACACACACACACTTTCATGCAACGGCCGAGTGAAGTCCCTGCAGCGAAAGTTGAGGTCGGCAACGCTTAGCGTCAATTCCACATGACGCTGCAGGAGGGTGCACAACGCAGGGCGAGCCAGGAGCAGAAACGCACGGGTGGTGGCTGCGCTAGGCACGCACAAGTGTGAAAAGCAACATGCACGGTGCAAAGAAAGGCCCGGCAAGCCCGGTGAAGAGACTGCCGAGAATCCAAGCCTGTACGGCAGCAGGCGGATGCAGGGGCCGACAAAAAGCACGCAGGCGAACGGTGGGGCGCTGGAGTGCCGAGAAGAGCGCCAGCCCAGAGACCCCGACCGTGTGGCCGTAGCCGAACCACGTGGGCAAAGGGGCCCAGCCCCTGGGCGGGCACGCAAGAGGTGAAGCAGGCTGGCGACTGTGTCCGCCGAGCGGTCCGAAAAACGTAAGGAGAGCTCCCGAGCAAGAGCAGGCAGAGCTACAGTCAGCCCGTAGAAGAAGGACGGGCGATGGTAAGAGGGCCTTGGAAGGCCGTGTCGACGCTTTGCGAGCGGGGCGCGGCCAGCGGTAGCGGTCAAGGACGGGCCGAAGGGGAAGGATGCAAAGTGTAACCTTGGAAAGGTGCTCGTCCTCACTATGCGGCTCGCTCGACTTTATAATCCACAGGGAGTCACGCGACACGGATGGCGGCGTCCGCGCCGGCAGCGCACGTGCCTGCCAGGGCAGGCGGCGGAATCCTGGGATCTGACCTTCAGGTTGGCCGGGGCGCCGGCCTGCCGGGCCAGGGGGGGGGGCAGGACGGGCAGGGCTCGTGGGCGAAGAGCATGTCCCTGGCCGCGGCCTCGCGGGCCAGGCCCCCGGACTGCGACCCCGCGGACACGGGGCGCTCTGGTCGCGGATGCCCCGCGTGGAGCGTGTCCGTGCGGCCGCGTGTCCGCGGGATCGCGCCCCGGAAGGCAGACCGCGAGGGCGTGGATGCGGACCAGTGCGCCGCGCGTGGAGGGCGGAGGGGCAAAGCGCCCGGTCGGGCATGCGGGAGGAGTGCAGCGGCCGTGCTGGCCAGGCCAACGCGTGCGTGTCCTGCGCTGAGCCTCGGCGGCACTCCACAGAGGCCTGGTGGAGAGCGCCGCCGGCGAGGCGGGCGCGGAAAAGCAGGCCCCAGGCAGCCGGCAGGCGCCGAGGGGGAGGCAAAACGCGTCGAGGCCGTGAGCGCGGCGGGGCGCCTCGGGAGGCGAGACTTCGAAGGGGCCCAGGGGCACGCAGATAGGTAGACACAGGCCCCAGGATTCTCGACATTTGTCCACGTCTCTTGGAGTGCCCTCTGCCCCCACGTCGCATATGTTCCCACCGTTGCCGGGGAAGCGGCGATTATGTGTAACTGTGTGTGTATTTTTTCCCTCCGGAGACTCGGCATCAAAGACCCACGGGCGGGTGGCCCCCCCCACGCAGGCGCCTCTCGAGGCCCCCAAAGGAGTAGCCAAAGGTGGTCGGTGGCGGGAACGGCGGGAGCGAAGGGCCGGCGCCAGACGCTCCCGCCTCCTGTACACACACACACAAACACTTTGCCGGCGGCGGCAGGAGGGGTGTCACCGCAGCGTGTACTGCAAAGGCGCCCAACATCGCGCTTCGCGTTGCGAGAAGCGCGAAGCGCGAACAACGTCGCGCTCTCGCGCCGCCCCCCAGGGAAGAGGAGAAAGATGAGGAGGAATCGGAGCCGAACCGCAAAGTGAGAAGCGCGAATAACTGCGCGCCCTCGAGGGCGCCCTTGAGGATGGGTGTCACCGCAGCGTGTACTAGGACGGGCCACGCCTAGTTCAATTACCACCTGGCCTTGCAGATGAGTGGCTAGGACGCGCCTCCTGCACACACACACACACACACACACAATCACACACAGAAACACACACACACACACACATTTACAAACAAACACGCCGATTGGGTCTGAAGAACCAACTGAGAGCCCCAGCAGAAAGATGCCAGAAACTGGTGAGAGGGAGCTTGACCAGCAGCCATCTGAAAGATTGCAAGAAAAAATCAGAAGTCGCCGGTAGTCTTGCGGATTTGGCCACTCGGCGCGGTTCACGAGCGGCGAACGTATTCATGTCCACGCCCTCGCGGTCTGGATTCCGGAGCGCGACCCTTTGGACACGCGGGCGCCAGGATACGCGCGGGCGCGTGGATACCGTCCGCGCGGGGAGCCCGCATTGAAACACCCCGTATCCATGGGGTCGAGGCCCCGAGGCCTGGCCCGCAAGGCCAGTGCCTCCCGCCTCCTCCAGCCTCCCTCCTCCCTCCTCCTCCTCCTCCTCCTCCTCCTCCTCCTCCTCCTCCTCCTCCTCCTTATCCTCCTCCTCCTTCTCCTCCTCCTCCTCCTCCTGCTTATCCTCCTCCTCTAGCGCTGGGGCCGCGCATCGAAAGCATCAGATCATATCGTCGGATGTCTGGGCACTCTGCTGTCCGCAAGGCGGTGCACTCGCGCGCGGTCGCTGGTGACGCTGCGGATGCCGCGGAGAAAACGAGGGTGCTTGATGTGTTGTTGTTCAAATGTTAGTATGTTTATAGTTGTATGGTTTTGTATTGCACCTATATATATAGTATGTAACTTGGTTTGGTTTGGTTTGTGCTCATGCTTATATTTCTTATGTTTCTGCCGCGGAGGCAGAACGAGGGGGTCCTGCGGTGCTCCACCTTCTGCCGCACCTGGACGATGGCGGTCCAGGCGTGCGGCGTGAAGGACCTCTGGCACTCCTGGCGGGCCCGCATGGCCAAGCAGTCCCCGCTCTTTCGGTGCGGGGGGCAGAGAGAAACAGAGAGAGAGAGAGCGAGAGAGAGAGAGAGAATGCGGGGGCGGACACGCAAATCGTAAGAAGAGGCAGCGAGGGGGAGGCGCAGAGGGAAAAAGAGACAGACAGACAGACAGACAGACAGACAGACAGACAGGCAGACAGACAGACAGACAGACGGGCAGGCAGGCAGGCAGGCAGGCAGACAGACAGGCAGACAAGGCAGGTAGGAAGGCAGGCAGGCAGGCACACAGACAGAGAGGCAAGCAGGGGCAGGCAGGCAGACACAGGCAGAGAGAAGAGAGAGAGAGAGAGAGAGAGAGACAGAGAGAGAGAGAGAGAGACACACACACACACATACACAAACACACGCACACACACACACGAGGCACGGAGAAGAGGGAAAACCAAGGGGGAACGAAAGACAGGTGGGAGGACGGGGAGGGATGGAGGTGGAGGGGAAGACGGGCATGGAAAGCGGTATGGGGCGGGGGCGGGGAACGGGAGGGTGACCGTGACAGGAAGAAATGGCGGCAGAAGGGTGGAGGGCGATCGTTGGATGAATGAAGAGGTGGAGAAACGAAAGAGGCATAGAAGATAGAGGGGGGCAAGGTACGGATGGGATCGGGACCCTCGCGCGTGGAGCCCATGGGACTCCTCAAAGGCCGCGGCCTTGCAGGAAGGCCAGCGAAACTGGGAGCCCGCTCAGAGCTCGTGGTGCAATCCAGACAGCGCACATTGCTTCCAGCTGTGTCCCAGCAGCGTTGCCTAAAGCTGTTCGGAGCCAAGCGGTTGGTCTCAGGTCATCGCTACCGTGGGCTGCCCGTTGTCGCAGGCCAGCTGAACTGGCACAGCGGAGCTCGAACATATCGTCGCCCCAGCTATGGAGCTGTCCTCCTGGGATCCTCAGCCTGATTTTCACGGAGCTGCGAAGGCTCGGGCGCCAATAGATGATTGGGTTCATTGCTGAGTCGATTGCGTCGCGACCTAGACCGTGCAACTCCACACCATCTGCCGCTGCATCGAAGTCCAACTGTACACCCTGCAGTTGGACCTGAAAGGGATTCGCCTATTGCCTCACTTTCGGCTCAAAAACGATTTGTACATGTCCAAATACATATTTGCCAATCCGTAGTCGGTGCTGTCCTCTTTGGCTGTGTCGATTTGCGTCGGCAGTCAAGCGGGTCGTCGGCGATTGACCGTCTATGCCTTCTACATCGGTCCTACTGTCGCGGCTGCCAAGCTCTGGTCTCGTTCATGTTCTTTGCGGGTTTGCCGGTTGAGTGAATACGTTCGTGTCCGTGTTTCACCTTCTTCGTCCTTAATAGCTGACGGTCATCCGAATCATGCGTCGACGTGGTCGTCACAACTGCTGTCGTAGATTATCAAAGAAAGGAGACGGCGGTAGAATGGACATACGAGCATGCAGAAAAAAATGCTAATAGACGTAGAGAATAGGAGGCGGGAGAAGAGAGGGATATATCTTTATATTTCACATACATGCATGCATACATACATGCATACATACATGCATACATACATACATGTATGCATGCATACATGCATGCATGAACCCATCCATACGTACATGCATACGCACATCCATACACATACAGACATACATACATTCATTCATACATACATACATGCATACATACATACATGCATGCATGCATGCATACATACATACATACATACATACATACATACATACATACATGCATACATACATACATGTATACATACACATATGCATGCATGAATGCATGCATACATGCATACATGCATACATACATACATACATACATGCATGCATATGTACAGACATACAGGCAGACAGACAGACAGACAGACAGACAGACAGACGGACGGACGGACGGACGGACGGACGGACGGACGGACATACATGCATGCATGCATGCATACATACATACATACATACATACATACATACAGATGTGTGTGTGCGTGTAAAAGTATCCCGGCAAAGCAACCTAACAGCGATGTGTAGGAGCATATCTGGAAGCATTCCCCTTAAGATTCACATGAGAATCCAGTTGTAGAATTCTGCTGTTCTCGCAGTCGCAGTCGCATTCGCGATGAAAGTCGCAGTGGCAACGGCAGTCGCAGTCACAGCCTCAGCCTCAGCCTGCCTCAGCCTCAGCCTCAGCCTGCCTCAGCCTCAGCCTCAGCCTGCTTCAGCCTCAGCCTCAGTCTGCCTTCAGCCTCGGCCTCAGCCTCAGCCTGCCTCAGCCTCAGCCTGCCTCATCAGCTGCATCAGCCTCAGCCTCAGCCTGCCTCAGCATCAGCCTGCCTCAGCCTCAGCCTCAGCCTGCCTCAGCCTCAGCCTCAGCCTGCTTCAGCCTCAGCCTCAGTCTGCCTTCAGCCTCGGCCTCAGCCTCAGCCTGCCTCAGCCTCAGCCTGCATCAGCCTCAGCCTCAGCCTCAGCCTGCCTCAGCATCAGCCTGCCTCAGCCTCAGCCTCAGCCTGCCTCAGCCTCAGCCTCAGCCTGCTTCAGCCTCAGCCTCAGTCTGCCTTCAGCCTCGGCCTCAGCCTCAGCCTGCCTCAGCCTCACCCTCAGCCTCAGCCTCAGCCTCAGCCTGCCTCAGCCTCAGCCTCAGCCTGCCTCAGCCTCAGCCTGCCTCAGCCTCAGCCTCAGCCTGCTTCAGCCTCAGCCTCAGTCTGCCTTCAGCCTCGGCCTCAGCCTCAGCCTGCCTCAGCCTCAGCCTGCATCAGCCTCAGCCTCAGCCTCAGCCTCAGCCTCAGCCTCAGCCTCAGCCTCAGCCTCAGCCTGCCTCAGCCTCAGCCTCAGCCTGCCTCAGCCTCAGCCTCAGCCTGCTTCAGCCTCGGCCTCAGTCTGCCTTCAGCCTCGCCTCAGCCTCAGCCTGCATCAGCCTGAGCCTCAGCCTCAGCCTGCCTCAGCATCAGCCTGCCTCAGCCTCAGCCTCAGCCTGCCTCAGCCTCAGCCTGCTTCAGCCTCAGCCTCAGTCTGCCTTCAGCCTCGGCCTCAGCCTCAGCCTGCCTCAGCCTCAGCCTGCCTCAGCCTCAGCTCAGCCTGCCTCAGCATTCAAAATGTGGCCCGGGAATGGAGTTCTGGGAACTCGAAGAACACGAAGTGGCCTACAGTTGGCTCCGGGCATTCAAAATCATGCCCAGGAATGGAGTTCTGGGAACTCGAAGACCACGAAGTGGCCTACAGTTGGCTCCGGGCATTCAAAATCATGCCCAGGAATGGAGTTCTGGGAACTCGAAGAGCACGAAGTGGCCTACAGTTGGCTCCGGGCATTCAAAATCATGCCCAGGAATGAGTTCTGGGAACTCGAAGACCACGAAGTGGCCTACAGTTGGCTCCGGGCATTCAAAATGTGGCCCGGGAATGGACTTTTGGGAACTCGAAGAGCACGAAGTGGCCTACAGTTGGCTCCGGGCATTCAAAATGTGGCCCGGGAATGGAGTTCTGGGAAGTCGAAGAGCACGAAGTGGCCTACAGTTGGCTCCGGGCATTCAAAATGTGGCCCGGGAATGGAGTTCTGGGAAGTCGAAGAGCACGAAGTGGCCTACAGTTGGCTCCAGGCATTCAGAATGTGGCCCGGGAATGGAGTTCTGGGAGGTCGAAGAGCACGAAGTGTGTGACTGTTTGCGAAAAACGCACTCGGACACAAGTTCGGACACAGCTCCCCGGGTCCCGCCCCGACCCCCCTGTGGAGTCATCTGCTGCTCTCTATTGACACCACTAGAAACCTATCAGCAAAAGCTGTTAGGTAAAAAAAGGTACCCGCCACCGTGCCTCTGGGCACGGCGTGGGCTTGTCCTCAGGTCCTTTCCCTAATCCTCTGAGCCTCAAGCCTCACTCCTGAGGAGTCTTTAAAGGGGCCCGGGTCCCAGGTTGCCGAATCTCTCTCGGAGCTTGGCGCCGCTCCCCGACGCCTCTCGCGTGACAAGTCTCGGACCCAAGAGGGCCCCAGGCCGGCCAAGGGGGCCTCAAGCAGCCCTCAAGACGGCCCAAGGAGACCTCCAAGACCTCTCAAGAGGCCTCCTAAGGGGGCGCTGAGATGTAAAATTCCTTGGTTCCCCTTAGGTGTTTGAAGGATGTTGGCCTTCTCGCCGTTTCGGCTTCCCGACGCTCCAGGACGCCTTCAGAGGCCCACAAAATCGCCCCAAGACGCCCCCAGAGGGTCCCAAGAGGGCCCCAAGACGGCCAAAGAGGGCACCATGACGGCCCAAGAAGTGCCCAAGACGGCCCAAGAATACCCAAAGACGGTTCCAAGAGGGGTCCCAGATGAGAAACCCGAATGAACAGTTCGAGCCATCGGCCCTGAGGGGCCCCCAGGAGGCCCCAAGAAGGCCCCCAAGGGCCCCAAGAGGCCCCCGAGAGGCCCAAAAACTGCCCCCAAGAGGCCCACACGAGCGCTCCGAAGAGACCCCAAGAAGCATCCCTGAGAACTCGGACCCATAACCCTACCACGGTGGCGGGATGGGCCGAAGGCCACTAGAGACCCGCCGCCCCCTGTTGATTCATCACAAGGGTGCCTGGCGTGCTAGACCAGAACTCACCCTGGGGTTTCGGCCCGTCCCGCCGGAGATGCGTAACAGGTGGATGCAAAAGGTTGTTCAACTCCAGACGGCTCCAAGATGGCCTCCACGATGTTCAAGATGGCCCAAGATGGCCTCCAAGTTCGTCCAAGATGGTCCAAGATGGCAAGACGGCCCAAGCGAGTCCAAGATGCCTCCAAGTTCGCACAAGAAACACCTAAGACGGCCCAAGACGGCGCAAGAGGCCTCCAAGAGGCCTCCAAGACGGCCCAAGAGGCCTCGAAGAGTTCGTCCAGGACTTCCCGAAGAGTTCAAAATAATTGTTGTTCCTCAGGTGTTTGCAAGATTGTGGCTTTTGCTCCTTGTCGGCCTTCCGACGGCCAAAGACGGCACGCTCATCATCAAGATCGCCCCAAAAGTACCCAAGAAGCCTCCAAGATGGCCCCAGGACGATCCAAGAGGCCCTCGAGATGGCCCAAAGAGGGCCCAACGACAGCCCAAGAGGCCTCCAAGACGCCCAAGATGGCCTCCAAGACGGCGAAGATGGCCCCGAGAGAGCCCAAGAAGGCTCCCAGATGTCTCCAAGACGGCCCAAGATGCACCCAAGACTGCCCAAGATGGCCTCAAGATGGCCCAAGACCTCCCAACGCGCCTCAAGAGGCCGCCAAAACGTCTCAGGAGAGTCCGAAGAGGCACCCAAAGAGAGCCCCAAGAGGCGAGCTTCATTGATTGTCCTTCATTGTCCTCGAAAAATTGAAGGACTTGGGGGGTTGCTCCTTTTCGGTCTTCCGACGGCTCAAGACGGCCAAAGATGCCAGCAAGTTCGCCCCAAGAGCGCCCAAGAAGCCTCCAAGACTGCCCCAGGACGCCCCAAGATGCCCCGAAGATGGCCTCCTAAAGAGGGCCCCAAGAGGCCTCCAAGACGGCCAAGATGCAGTCCAAGACAGCTCAGATGGCCCCAAGATGCCTCCAAGACGGCCCAAGATGCACCCAAGACTGCCCAAGATGGCCTCAAGGTGGCCCAAGACGGCCCAAGAGGCCCCCAAGAGGCCTCCAAGACGGCCCAAGAGGCCTCCAAGAAGTCCCCCGGGAGGATCGAAGAGACCAAAAGCATTGATGTTCCTATGGGTTTTGAAGGATTCTGGCATTTGCTCAAGACGGCGGCCTCCCGACGGCTCAAGACGGCCCAAGAGGCCGCCAAGATCGCCCCAAGATCGCCCACGAGGCCTCCAAGAGGGCTCCATGACGGCCCAAGAGGCCCCCAAGACGGCCCCAAGAGGGCCCCAAGAGGCCTCCAAGACGGCCAAGATGGCCTCCAAGACGGCTCAGATGGCCCCAAGAGGCCTCCAAGACAGCCCAACATGCACCAAAGACGGCCTAAGATGGCCTCAAGGTGGCCCAAGACGGCCCAAAGGCCTTTTTGGGTCTTTTCGGCATTCCGTCGGCTCAAGACGGCCCAAGAGGCACCAAAAATCGCCCCACGATCGCCCACGATGCCTCCAAGATGGCCCCGTGGACGGCTCAAGAGGCCCCCAAGACGGCCCCCAGAGGGCCCCAACAGGCCTCCAAGACGACCAAGATGGCCTCCAAGACGGCTAAGACGGCCCGAGATGCACCCAAGATGGCCTAAGATGGCCTCAACATGGCTCCAAGATGACCCAAGATGGCCTCCAAGACGGCCAAGACGGCCTCCAAGACGGCTAAGATGCCCCCAAGATGCCTTCAAGACGGCCGAAGCTGCACCCAAGACGGCCCAAGATGGCCTCAAGATGGCCAAAAACGGCCCAAGAGGCCCCAAGAGTTCCTCCGGGAAGGCCCGAAGAGGCCAAATTCCTTGATGTCCCTGAGGTTTTCAAAAGATTGTGGCATTTGCGCCTTGTCGGCATTCTGACGGTCCAAGGTTGGCCCCCAAGGTCGCCCCAAGGTCGCCCAAGAGGCCTCCAAGATGACCGCATGACGGCCCAAGAGGCCCCCAAGACAGCGACCTCCAAGACGTCCAAGATACTCTCCAAGACGGCCCTGAAGCGGCCCAAGGGAGCCCCAAGTCGGTTCAGAGAGGCCCCCAAGACGGCGTCCGACGGTGTCAGACGGGTCGGGAACGTCCTAAGACGGCCAAAGAGGCCCCCAAGAAGCCCCCAAAGGCCCCCAAGAAGCCCCCAAGAGGCCCAGGGAGGCTCCCAAGAGGCCCCCAAAAGGCTCCCAGAAGCTCCGCAGAGGCCTCCCAAGAGGCCTCGCAAGACGGTTCCCAAGAAGTCTCCTCCTCCTACTCCTCCTCCTTCCCCATCATCCTCCTCATCCTCATCCTCATCCTCATCCTAATCATCATCATCCTCCTCCCTCTCCTGATCCTGCTCCTATTGCTCCCCCACGCGTTCCCCGCTGGCTTTCCAAACCGACTCGGGGAACAACTGGCCCGATAGCGTGGCCAAGCTCTAGCCCAGCTGTCGGCCACATAGGCGCTTTCAAAGGGGCAGGGGCGGCGGTGATTCGCCGTAGGCGTCTTCGGCACATAGGTATACCGATACATACAAATAAATATAAAGAGAGAGAGAGAGAGAAAGAGAGAGAGAGAGAGAGAACACCCCCGCCCCCCCCCCCCCAAAAAAAAAACACGAGGGAGAGAGAGAGAGACTTGCAAGACATGCCACCAGTGGGACAGCGGCATGAAATAGGGGCACCCATGGCAACACTACTGCGCACAGGGGTGAAACACTTCCGGGCAGCATCTCGGTAGCCTTCAATACCTGGGGATTTGCATGCAAGCGAGTGGTGAAGACTACATGATCCGCCACTGTGCCTTGTGCACGTTGAGGCGTGGAAAAATGCCACGGGCTGTGTGGCAAGATATCTGCACTCTAACTAGGGACCCCCCCCTTCCCTTACTGGTGTGCCCTTGCAGGTATCGCCACCCACCCACCCTCCCGAAGTCACGATCCCTCGTAAAAAATGAATCCGCGCTCCCACCCGCGACCACTCGTAAACAAGATATGGATCCACGCCCCGAGCTTCCAAGACGGCCCATACAAACAATCGAGGACACGAAGATGGCCACAGATGCCTCGAAGATGGCCCAAGATCGCTCCAAGGCGGTCCGCGAAGACCTCGAGACAGAGCTCCAACAGGGTCCGAAGAAGCCAGCTGCATAAGTCTTGAAGTCTCGGCTTGTCGGGCTCCTGCCAGCTCAAGACAGCACAAGAAGCCCCCACGATGGCCCCAAGACGGTCAAGGAGGCCCCCAAGAGGGACCCAAAATGGCCCGAGGTGGCCCACGATGGCCCAAGAGGCATCCAAAACGGCCCCAAGGCGGCCCGAGAGAGCCTCCCGTGGGGCCCAAGACAAGACGGCCCCACGGCAGCCCCCAGACACCCACCATGCGGCAAACAGGGCCGAAAGACGGCCCAAGTGAGCTCCAAGACGGCGTAAGAGGGCCACAAGACGGCCCAAGAGGACCCCAAGGGGCCCCACGACTGCATCATGGGAGACCAAGACAGCCCAAAGACGGCCCACACAAGTTCCATGACAGCCCCCCGAATAGCGTGCACGAAAGGTGTCGCATATGACGGCGGTCAGATTCCTCCTCCTGCTCCTGCGCCTCCTCCTCCTCCTCATCATCATCATCATAATCATCATCAGCATCAGCATCAGCATCAGCAGCATCCGTATCCTGCTCCCCCTCGCCATAGTCATCAGCAGCAGCAAAGTCAGCATCATCGTCCTCTCATCCTGATGATGTTGCTGTTGATGATGGTTATGATGATGATGACGATGATGATGATGATGATGATGATGATGATGATGATGATGATGATCACTGCGCCGCCCCTCCTTGGGAGAGCGCCATCATCAGCATCAGCATCAACATCACCAGTATCAACATCATCATCATCATCATCATCATCATCATCATCATCATCATCATCATCATCATCATCATCAGCCGCAGCATCCTCATCATCATCCTCATCAGCATCAGCATCGGCATCAGCATCAGCATCATCATCATCAGCAGCATCGTCATCACCATCAGCATCATCCCATCAATATCATCAGCCTCATCATCCGCATCGACATCAGAAACAGAATCGACGGCCCAAGCGAGTTTCACGAGAGATCCTCAAACATGAAGGCGAGATCTGTCACATGTGGCGACATGCCGTGTCCCCCTTCTGCTCGACCTGCTCCTCCTGATCCTCCTCCACCCCCTCCTCGCCATCATCAGAATCATCGACAGCAGCTGCCGCATCATCATGATGCTGATAATGATCACTATCAATGCCATCATTATCAGCATCATCATCATCAACATCATCATCAGTATTAGCATCACCATCAGCAGCCATCGCATCAACAGTTTCATCTGCAGCATCGTCAGCATTAGCAGCATCGTCAGTAACAAGACCATGATCAAAGAGCATTATCTCATGAACCTCATCACCCTCATCATCACCATCAGCATCAGCATCAGCATCGACAAAACAAACGGCTTCCATGAGATATCCTCAAATAGTGAAGACACAGCTGTCACATGTGACGGCCTTCCCCTTCCCCCTCCTGCTCGATCTGCTCCTCCTGCTCCTCCTCCACCTCCTATTCGTCGTCATCATCATCATCATCAACTTGTTCATCAGCACCATCGTCGTCACCGGCAACATCAGCAGCAGCATCATCATCAGCAGCAGCATCGACATCAACAGAATCACCATCATCAGCAGCAACATCCTCATCACGGCTCTCCCAACCCTGGAGGACGAGGTGTCACACGTGACGGCCTCTCGGGCATCCTCGAACAGTCGCCACCCAGAATGCTGGGCTGGCACGGTGGCGGGACTTGCCGCAGGCAGCCAGATACTATCAATCCTAACTCGTATCGGTTCGCCCTCTCTCCACGCCGCCCCCACCTCGCACTGCTGATTGACCACCGTAAACTCCACGACCATCGTCTGCTGGAGCACGCTAGAGTTATCAACCTCGCTTCCCCCGAGGAGAGAATCGAAGGTCGGTTAAAGGATCACGTGAACATTCTCATACCAGCCGATGAGATCTCGTGCAATGTGGACGCAAGCACTTCGAGCAAGACCAGGCATGAGCGCGTGTCTCCAAGAAGGCATGCAGACGAAGCAAGGCAACCAGCATGGACCACCCAGAACAGTACACCACGATACGGTCCAGAACCAATGGTAGAGGGATAGCGACGCAAAACTGGCAAAATCCTGGCCCTTCTGATTTTTCCGACCCTGGGGTGCCGGCGACACTGTGCCGCGAGCGAATGGCAGACGAGCAGAGGTCAGATGTTCATCCAGACATCAGCGAGCGCACTTCCATCGCCATGTCCCCAGCAGGGTGAGACGGTGGCTGCTGGCGCAGAGATGACAGAATCCCCATGCGAAAGAGCACACCGTGCAAGTTAGTCCTGGGCAGCAGAGCGGTGATCGTGGAGGAGGTTCGACCCCAGTACGCTCACATGCGCAGATTCACTGCGGAAGCACACAAGACGAGAGCAGTCTCGCAGGTTACAAGGCAGTGGTAACACAATAACTGCGTTCTCTTCCAAATGCAACGAGGCCCAGATTGGGCTCTCTACAGCAAGGAGGGAACTGGCACTGTCAACGTCAGGTGCAAGCCGCCGTCAGGGAAAATTTCCTGCTACAGTGCAAAGACACTCGTACAGGGTGCGCCAAAAAACAACACCAGTGGAACAACAAAAAACATATTAGCAACTATCCTGTATGCTGATGTGCGTCGTCCGTCCGTCACTACCCTCCCAGCCCCCTCCTCTTTCTGAACGGTAATCTTCACTCTGATTCTCTTGGAGTGCTCCTCTGTCCAAATGAACGATGCGTCCACTAGCCTGACGCACCATCAAGTCGCAAAAGAGGAAGACCACTAGACGAGCCATGAGTCGCTTCCGAGTGCGCAGTGGGAAAGAACCTGTACATTGTAAAGGGATCTAAAGCCTGGAGAACTTGGCTTAGAGAGGAGTGGGAACAATGAAAGCAGCGCCTTGGAATTTACAGCACCTGGCTCATGCCATGCAGCGACAACAGACGACGAGCGCTCTCCCCTGCTGCGGTCAGCCCACCGGGCTGGAAACGACAAAACATCGTGGTGCGGCATTCCCCCGTATTCTTCTTCTGGGCCGCTGTCTCTCAATCACGTTGCTTTCCAGAGGGCGGCGTTGCCTTGGCCGACCTTCAGTCTGCAAACTTGGCGGAGAGGCGGAGCGAGAGGAACTGCGCCAGCGATCGGCAGACCGTCGGGATCAACCGCTCCAGGGTTCGTGTGTGGTGGTTTGGGTGCTTCCGGAGTTCGGCAGCTCGCGGCAAAAGGACGAACCTTGATGTTACCGGCCCCTGGGGCCAGGAGCCCTGCAAAGAAAGAAGGTCACAGCGAGCTGCTCAGCTTCGGGCGGCCCACCCCAGGGCCGAGAAGTCCAGAGACGTGCCAACGGGCTGCCTACTCCTTTGCGCCTGCAAGTCTGGAGTGTCGGAGCGGGCTGCTGAGCGTCTTGGCAGACCCATATGGCAAGGTCAGTGGCAGACCCACCAACCTCTATTCGACACCCCGCCCCCAGAGCCAACTTCGCGATCGCGGCACAGCCCTCCCGCCCAGGACCCACGACCCTCCCCGAGACTCCTGCCAATTGGCGTTGAGCTTGTTTTGCCGATGGGCATTGAGCTGTACACACCTGTACAGCAGCCACCCCCATTCCACGAGCAGGGAGCCCTGTCTGCGCAAGCAGGCCAATGAGAAAAGGCGTCGGCCAATACTGCAGAGCCCGCGCTACGCAGCCACCTCCTCCTCCTCCTCCTCCTCCTCCTCCTACTACTACTACTACTACTACTACTACTATTACTACTACTACGACTACGACTACGACGACTACT